AGTAGTTCCTGTGTTTTAAGGTATCTGGTGGTGATTTTGGAAATGAATTGATGATAAAAAGAAAATTAATCCATGAAAAATATGCAATTATTATCTCAAGGGAAAACAAAAACTCCCAAGAAGGGAAATGAAGTCCGAGACAGTGTAGCTCAGTTTAAATAAAACACGCACCTCATCCAGAGCTCGGCCAGCACACGGACACCCAGGAGGGCCTGGAGGCAGAGGACTCAGTCGGGCCCTGAGGGGGTTTAAGGTGGGAGGGCGGCTTTGCCCAGAGCCGAGGAGCAGCAGGCACCACCCGACTCTGCACGCAGGAGCCTGCTCCTGCTGCCTGGGAGGCCAAAGCCCCTGAGCAGGGAGACCCACAGCTGAGTGACCACAAAGAATCTCCCACCTGCTGCCCTCTTTGGGCCAGGTGGGGCTTCCCTGGACATGCTGTTCCATGTGGACAAGGGCAGTTGAGAAGTGCAGCCAGGCCAGCAGCCTTCTGGGACAGCCTCAGTGACATAAAATAGAACAGAGAACAGCATTTAGGTGACAGAGGACCCACTGCTTACAGTGCAGGACCAGGGCCACAGTGTTCTTGGTTTGCCCTCAGCCTCTCTGCACCCTGAGGCAAGGGGCAGAGGCCCTCTCGCAGGAAGGACGAACCTCTCAAAGCCTTGGTCTGCTGGTCATCTGGCACACGAGGACTCCTGGGGAAGAGCGTAGGAGGGTCCTGCCTTTGCTGGAGTCCACAGGGAGGACTAAGGCCTCCTGAGTGGGCATGGGGAGACGCAGGGCAGCAGTGAGCTCTTGGACCCACGTGGCCTCCAGGCCAGCTCCATCTCAGGGCCCTGCCACACAGGGCCTGCTCTACCTCAGGGACCCCGGATCTGTGCCCCCCTCCCACCTTGGCAGTCCCTACAACCTGGACAGAAAGCCACTCCCATGTAAGCCTGGACTGGGCAGCTCTAGTATCCCCTCATATGGCCATGCCATGTCCCTTTCACAGCCCTGTCAGCCCCCCAGCTTCCCAGAGCCTTCCGGGCTCCAGTGAGACATCAGTGTCCAGCACCTGAGCTGGACTCCTGGAGGCCTCCTGAGGACACTGGGTGCTCCAGGGCAAGCAGAGCCTGGTTTTCAGCAGCACGGTGCCACCATCGATCTTCCAGCCACACTGTTGATCCCAGACCCGGAGGGGCCAGGCTGGGAGGGCTGAGGCCATGGGCACTGTCCCCTTACTTCTAAGGAAAAGGTGGGTCCTTGGTTGGTGAGTCACAGGGGGTTGTGATGGGGCCCCATCCTGGGCTCATGTGAGGTGCCTCTCTGTCCCTGCAGTGTCGCTGCTGAGAGTGTCCCCGGCCCTTGAACCTTTCCGGACGCCTGGAGCCAGCTCCTTTGTCCCACTCTGTCCCCTCCACATCTTGTAGGTCCAGGTTAAATGCCTCAGTTCGCTATGCTCCTGTGTCAGATGCCTGGTTCAAGGCACTGCCACCCTCAAAACCGCCCTTCCCCCACACCAGCTCGTTGGGCTCACTCCTCCTTGGGATGGACATGACTTCCCCCAATTCACATTTGAAGCCCTGATCCTGTCCCTCAGAGCAGGGCCTTGTTGGAGATGGAGATTCTACAGAAGAAACCAGGCTAAAATAAGGTCACTAGGAGACCTTCACCCAACATTCTGGTGTCCCCACGCAATGGGAAAATGGGAGGCGAACATGTGCAGGGGCAGCACCATGTGAAGGTGGAGCAGAGATCCGAAGATCCGGTGGTGCATCTGCCCTCCAAGGACCCAAAGACGGCAGCCCTGGGGGACACACCTGGAGCAAGTCCTTCCTGCAATCATTCCTCCCAGGACCCAGCCCTGCCCACACCTCGGTCTCAGCTTCTGGCCTCCAGGACTGAGAGGATGAGTGCTGTCCAAGCCCACCCCTCCCCCGTGGGTGGTCCTTTGTCATAGTGACCTGCCTCACTTACACATTGGTAGAGTCTCTCCAGAGACCAACTCATCACCAACATGGTGCCACAGGTGGGCCCCCGGTTCTCTGGAGGTGAAGGAGAGCCTGGTGTCTGCAGCCCCAGCCTCCTGGGGGCTCCCGACAGCCTGGCTCTTGTGATTGGCTGATCCTGCACCGGGCTCTTTCTGTTCATCTGTCTTCACTTGAACTGCAGTAAAACCAGGAGAGGCTCACCCCTCCATTTGCTCAGCAGAACCCCGATCCTTTCCTGAAGCTCTGACAGAGCCGAGTCTATCGTTTCAGCCTCCCGGGAATCCTGAGGCTGTAACCCTGACACCAGCACCAGCCTATGCCCAGGCAGCCTTCTGGGTCAGGCGTGGAGTCAGCTTTGGGTCAGGTTGCAGGGCAACAGCATGAAACTCCCCAGGGTGGACAGTACCCCAGGCTGGGGGCAGCCATGGGCAAGGCTGTGTTTGAAGTTCCATTTGGTAACATGGGCTCCCCTGGGGACTGTGGCTGGTCCCCAGCAAGGGGAGGTTGCTCTTAGAGCCAGCAGGAAGCAACTCTGTTCTGCAGCTCTGCCTGCTCCCGTCCAGTGCCCTGAGCTGACAGCAGCCATAATAAAGCCAGCTTGACATTTAGGGCAAAGTGCCAGACATGCAAAGGTCGGCCACTTAATCAGGTTTAATCAACTCATAACCAACCCCACTGATCTACCTGTGCAAGCCCAGGGAGCCCTCCTGTTGCAGAGGATGGAGACGCGCAGGCTCTTGCTCTTTGTCTTCTGTGGCCTGGCTGAGGGCCCAGCCCCCAGGGTTACTGTGCTCCAAGAACATCCGAAGCTCCTGTGTCCTGCTTCAAGCGATTGGAAGCCAGGTGCAGCGGGAGTGGAGGGCTCTGGGGGTGGGTGCTCTCTCTCAATCTGGGTGCAGGTGACACGGGCTCCCTTCATGCCACCCTGAGCTGCACCGGCGTGACTGGCATATTCTGTCTGCATGTGACGCATCAGTAGAAGAGGCTGCCCCCTTCCCATATGCTCCCTCCTCCAAATGCCCTGGGAGGTCTGGGTCATGGTCTTGCCCTTCTGCAGGGCTCATGATCCCTTCCCACGTGTGGCTTGGCTGTGTGTTTTGTGTGGCAGCTGCACATGACACCTACCCCATGTTCCTGACTTAAATGACCTCCCTTGATTATATGCAGAACCTCCTCCCTGGTGAGCATTTGCCTTCTTAGCCTGTTGGTGGGGCCCATCCTGGGCTCGCCCCTCCTCTGGAAGCCCATGCTATTATTGACCATGCACAAGCAGAGGGGCCCCTCCCCTGGTGACGGTGGCACATCACTTCTCCTCGTTTCAGGGACTGAAATGTGCCCTCCCAAATGCAGGGGTGGAAATCCTATCCCCTTTATGATGGTACTAGGAGGGGGGATCTTCAGGGTGAGGGTCTCCTGGGCTCCACCCTCAGGGACAGGATCTGTGCCCCAATAAAACAGGACTTGGGAAGCTTGGTCCCCGCTTACCTGAGGAGACACCAGAGAACACCCTGGAGCCCCAGGCAGCCCTTGGCAGGTGGCAGATCTGCACTGCAGCCCGTGGCTCAGGACCCCCTGCTCTAGTGCTGTGAGGAACAGAGGTTGTCCCCCCCCCCCCCGCCCCCTGCCTGCGGCGTTTCTGTTCCAGCAGCCCTGGATGAACTGAGACAGAGCCCCTTCCTCCTGGTTTTAACACAGCCTGGAGGAGCTGCTTGGGGGATCTTCTCGCCTGGCCCCTGCCCTGTAGTTAGAAGGCTGTGGGGAGACAGTGGGGCCTCAGGGTTTGGGGCACAAAGGGGAGGTGAGGAGCAAGAGCACTCTGGAGTCCCAGGCACAAAGGGACACTGCTGTATGCAGCTCAGCAGCTCAGTGGGAGTGTGCAGGCTGAGGTGTGGGGAGAGCCCTCGGCAACCCTCTTTCAGTGACTCATATTGGGGAAAATAAAGGTGCACCTGGGAGGAAGGCCTGAGCTTTGGCCACCTACAGGGTGCAGGTGCAGAAGTGGGGCCCAGCCACTCACCTGGCACCTTCTCCGTGCCTGGTTGTCCTGGGTCTTGCTTGGTGGCACTCTCTCAGAGTCCTTTGGTTCCTGGAGCCTGGAGCTGGACCTGCACATCCAGTCTTTCGAAACCTGTCCTGGGAAATGTTTAGCAGGAGACTGATTGAGGCCCCTGGTGCCCATCCCTGCGCCCCTGCTTCGGGCCAAGAGCAAGGAGGCTGAGCTCCTGCCTGGTCTTGAAAACCTGGCCTCACACTGGGGCCTGGCTGGGGGCCACAGAGGATGAACCGCAGTATGTGGATGGAGGATCCGGACCTCACGTCCTAGGCCAGGGCACGTGGCCCGAGAAGAGCCCTGCGGCAGGGTCCTGACCCCGACAGGCAGGGCCCACGGGTCGCCCCTGAGGCTGGAGAAGCCGGCAGAATACCCTCGCCAGACCAAGCAACCCCCACCGCAGGCGGCACCACCTCCCAGAGAGGGAGGTTGGAGATGTCAGCGCGCGAGGACAGGAGGGGCAGGCAGAAGGTCAGGGTGGGAGTCGCCCAGAATCAGGGTGGGGATCCGGGGAAGCGTGGTGGGGCTGACCCTAAGCCCGCTCGAGTGGATTTCCTTGTGCACCCGCGGCTCCCTCCCTTTGGTCTCCTGCTTCGCCTGGACCTGGCAGGACAGGTTAGCCCAGGAAGCCCCCAGGGCAGGCACCGGTGTGTGGGGCAGCACTGGGGGTGCAGGCGACGGTGGAAGGTAGACTCAGGCAACTCCTGCCTGGCAGCCGCTGGTCTCCCAGAGACTCATCGGACCCAAAGGTGCACCCCTCTCCTCTCCCACGCGTCCGAGGCTTCAGGACACGCAAGATCCAGGCGGTTCGATCTGCAGCCTAAGAGCGGTGGCAGCAGGCTCCGCGGGCTATCAGTGCCCTGGAGGGGCGGGGGCGCGGCCCTAGCTTGTCCCCCGCCCACCCGGGGCGGGCGGGTGAGGAGGCGGAGCCAGGGCGGGGGCCCCGACGGCGGGCGGGGCGAGGCGGACCCCCGCGACCCGATAAGAGCCCGAGGCTGCGACCGCCCAGTGCGGTGGCGCTGAGCTGGAGTTTCCGCGGACCTACCTGCTGAGACCTGAACGCAGCTGTAGCCGAGGGCCAGAGGCAGGTAAAGGCGGGTCGCTCCCTGCACAGGCGGCCCCTAGCACCCTCCGGGCGGGCGCGCCGCTCACTCCACAGACCCTCGGGCTGGGCCGCCGGGAGCCCAGCAGGGCGAGCGGTGTCCGTCGGGGACTCCGCTACCCGGGGACAGAGCGGTCTCCGAAAGTGCCACCAGTCGCGGTGCAGAGCGCTGTCTGGCGGTGAAATGGGAGACCCTAAGGCCCTCCCAGCCAGAGGGGACTTCCGCCCCGCCCGCGGAGTGCGGACCGGTGGGCAGGCGCTGAGGTCGCCGGCTTCCCGGGACACGCGGCTGTCTGAGGTTGCGGCTGGGGCGCCTGCTCCGCCTCGATGGACCTGACACCACCTGGGGTCGGCGGAACTGGCCACGCGAACCCACGTCCCATAGAGGTGGTTGCCTCAATCCTGAGGTGGTTCATCTCCCGCGGTTTTTGTCCGATTTGTAAGATGGTGCCAGGACGCGGGTTGCGACTCGGAGCTCCAGGCCACTGTTGCAGGGAACCACAGTGGGGAGGGGGGCGAACAGAGCCTATCATGGAGCTGTCTCCTGACCTGGGCAGCGGAAGGAAAGATGCTGTCTCAGAGGCCACATTTTGCCCTCTTGGCTCAAGTCTGGCCTCTGATATCCTCAGCACAGGAAGGGTCTGGATCCTTCCCGATGCTGAGCACCACTGGGTGAGCAGGAGAGCCCGGGTGCGCCCACCTGCAAGGAACTAAAGGGCCTGCCTTTGCGCTATTCGCACCTCCCACCCTCCCCAACTGTTGGCCACTGCTGCAGTCCCACTGCTGTGCTGCACCCCTGTGGCTCTTCTGAGAACGTGGGATGGGTCTGTCCCTGCAGGGAAGAGGCCACAGAGAAGTGGCGCACACAGTAACGTCTGTCAGGCGTCTGCTTTTGGGTGCAGGGGAAAGTTACCCCACTAGAGCGGTCACCCTGCTGCCCAGGCTTACTTAGTGTCTGTGCACAGTGGGAACAATGCTGAGGTCTGCAGGCTGTCGATGCGTCAGTGCTCAGCCCTCCTCCACTCTGCCCAGGGCTTTGCGGAAGTAATTGAGAGCCACTTCCCTGGTAAGGAGTTGTGTGGCAGCTGCCCCACCCTGGGTGAAGTCCTGCACAATCAATCCTCCATGCAGCTCAGGTAGGGCACAGCAGGGAGCAGTGTTCTTAGGGAACACAGATGGACATGGAGAAGCCCCTGGGCGCAGGTGGATGTGGACTTTGAATAATACAGATGTTCTTTGAACAAGTGGTTGTAATTATTTTTTAAATTTTTAGTTTAGTGTGGCTGTTTATATAAATTTTGCTCTTTGTTTTATTACCTGGTATAAAGAATGCATAGTGCTGTTACAAAGACCTTCTATTGGTGCTCTTTGAAGACTATGGGATGACTCCCTGGGAATGTGGAGAAGGGACAGAACATCTGTGCATGGTTATTAGAAAGCGAATCAAGCCTTGTGCTTGACAGGTGGGAGGTGGGGGAGGAGGCACATCAGCAGGTCTGTCTTGGGGTTTCCATGGCTGGTTCCCCCCGTGACCCCCAAAGAGATCTAGAGTCTCCACCTCTCCTGAGCACCATCATGTCATCCTAGGAGCTTGGAATGTGTTTGCTCCTTCCAAGGCAGCACAATTGCCTCAGGTCTCTGCTCTTGACGCACACTGTCAACCTGCTACCACACCAGTGTGTTTCTCTGTGTTTTTCATGTTGGCTGAAGACCAAGAGGAAAAAGCACAGAATCCCTAGGCTCCAGTCTTCCCATGAGTAAGAGCAAATGCTCCGTGGGACCCATGTCCCCCATGGTGGCCCCGGCTAAGGAGCCCAATGCCATGGGCCCCAGGGACGTGGAACTCATCCTGGTCAAGGAGCAGAACGGGGTGCAGCTCACGAACTCCACGCTGATCAACCCACCACGGAGCCCTGAGGAGGCCCAGGAGCGGGAGACCTGGGGCAAGAAGATCGACTTTCTGCTCTCAGTCATCGGCTTTGCAGTGGACCTGGCCAATGTCTGGAGGTTCCCCTACCTATGCTACAAAAATGGTGGAGGTAAGTGCCATCTGGGGCCCGGTTCCTTCTGCCAGGTTGAGCCACAGGGCAGCAGGGAGCAGTGTTCTTAGGGAACACATGCTCACTGGCAAAATTATGCTCTCCTCCTGGTGGAGACAGGGCTGCTTCATACCAGAGCATGAAGTCATACAGGCTCTCCCAGGTGCAGGAGATGCAGTGGTGCAGGCTGTCCCAGGTGCAGGAGATGCAGCACTGCAGGCTGTTCGAGATGCAGGAGATGCAGTGGGTGCAGGCTCTCCAGGAGATACTGCGGGAGCAGGCTGTCCTGGGTGCAGGAGATGCAGTGGGTGCCCGCTGTCCCAGATGCAAGCGGTGCGGCAGTGCAGGCTATCCTAGACACAGGAGATGTAGTGCTGCAGGCTCTCCTGGGCACAGGAGATGCATTGGGTGTAGGCTGTCCCAGGTGCAGGAGATGCAGCAGGTGCAGGCTGTCCCAGGCACAGGGGATGCAGTGGGTGCAGGCTGTCCTGGGTGCAGGCTGTCCCAGGTGCAGGAGATGCAGCGGGTGAAGGCTCTCCCAGGTGAAGAACACAGAGTCTGGTTCTGCTCTGCATCTTAACAGCTGAGAAAAATGAGGCCAGAAAAGAGGCAACCAGGAGGAAGTAGGTGGAGGCACCTTGGCCCTGTCCTCTGTTTCCAGTGGTTGTTTTCACTTTGGAAAAATTCTCCAAGGGCCAAAAAATGGCTTGATAGTGTTTAAAAGTATGTAGAACTTGAACTTGGAGGGGCAGATGATGCCCTGAAATGGGGGCCTCCAGTGGCCCTGCCCTCACTTCTGGATTCATCCAGCCATAGACCCTTGCCTGCATGGCACTCAGCAGGCTGGGATGGGGCAGGTCACTGAAAAGTTCACTTGAGCAGCCAAGTCAAAGGGCGCTCCTCCCCACGCGTCCCCGTCAGGGGCCTTCCCCTGGCCTCCCTGCTTGGATCCTCCAGACATAGGAAGGGCTGGGCAAGACTTCTTGAGGAAGCCTCATGGCACGCCCATCTTGAAGACAGGAGAACAAGGCCTGAGCAGTAAGTGTCCCAAGACAGAGCTGAGGGGTCTCCACAGCTCTCCACAGCCCAGAAGGGAGCTGTGGCAAAGCCCTCCCTTACAGAGGTCAGCCTGGGGGGGAGTAAGAGGGACTTAGGAGGCCTGCACAGGGCCCAGGCCTTCGAGGGGGAGATAGAGGGCAGAGGTGCAGGGAACCAGGCCCACCCAAGGGGTACCGGCCCCTGGTCAGCTCCTGGCAGCAAGGACCTCAGTGGTGGCCTGCGGTAGAGGCAGACTCCGAGTGCCAGGCCCTGGGGAGGGTCAGGGGGTGCTGGGGCCAGATCCTGAGAGGTAAATGGATCTGGGCCACGGAGGGGCCAGGCCTGCAGTGGGAGCAATACCAAGAGTGGGCGGGGCTGTCCGCGGCTCTGCCATAGGTTTGATGTCATCGTGTGAGTTGGGGGTGACCAGGGTTTCTGGAGGGACATATTGAGGCACTGGAAATGGTGGGCAACAGGTGTGGAGGCAGGCTCTCCACCATAGCTGAGACTCACCCCTCCAAGGGTCAGACATTTGTACCCAGAAAGGCCACTGGGTGCAAAGGGCCACGCTCAGTCTGGGACAGTGAGAGCTCAGAGGACGCCAAGCAGCCCCTTGCACACCGCAGCCAAGGCGTGTGTCCACAGGTGCCTTCCTGGTGCCCTACCTGCTCTTCATGGTCATCGCTGGGATGCCGCTCTTCTACATGGAGCTAGCCCTTGGGCAGTTCAACAGGGAAGGGGCTGCCGGCGTCTGGAAGATCTGCCCCATCCTGAAAGGTAATGTGCAGAGACATGTCCTTTTGCCCTGACACAGTGATGCAGCCCGCCGCAGAGGCTTGAGGCTTTCAGAGCAGGCTGTCCAGTGTGCATGTGCGGTCCTGCCTTGCTGAGGCCCGTAGGCAGTTCACCCACCTTCTAAGCTGGTCCTGCGCTGAAGTTCCGCCGTGACCAAGGATTGGTGGTCCCAGGGGAGGCTCCTGCGGTTCTTCAGCAGGGTTATCTTGTCAGGGTGCTGAAATGGTAGTGATATAGAACACCCACCTGTCAATCTGCCACCTCTCATCCATCCATTAGCCATCTGTCTATCATCTCCTATCATCTTCACCTGGTCACTGTCTGTGATTCCCCAGCTATCTTGACCTATGTAAATCATCTTTCTTGCTAGCTGTCATCTATCTATTGGTATCTATCTGTTTATCATCAGTCTGGTTTTTCTCTAATCCTTCAAGGCTGCTGATGTGAGGGCACAGCACCATGAGGCACACACCCCGTGTTGACTCCAGGTGGCCCAGCAGCTCACTCGTCCCCAGGAGATCCCTGGAGGGACGCCATGCTGTCTCTCTCTGTGCTGGAGATACACTCTGAGGGTCAGGGGGCTTGAATAATTTGCCCAGGATGAGCAGAGCAGGACTCCATCCCAGACCTGTCCAGCCCCTCAGCCAGGCCCCAGGGTTACACAGTCTCTGCTCCAGGTCTCCCTCCTGGCACGTGGGTTCTAGGTGGCTTTGAGGGCACTTCCTCTAGGAGACACAGGAGAGGTGCCCCTCAGACAGTCGGCATTCACTAAGAAAACGACCCTTGAAGGGCCAGAGTTGGGATTTTCTCAGAAGGTCTTGAAGACCTGGTGAGTGTGGAAGAGAGCAGAAGTCTGCAGGAATGTGCCGTCAGTGCCCAGGCATCCATATCCAGGACCAGCGGATACTGCTGTCCTAGGGCAGGTCTGCCCGGAGGACAGGATTGCCCTCTTGGCAGCAGAAGCACTGAGACAGCCAGGCAAGCCGGCTCTTCCGGGCAGTAGGCTGCCTTCCTTCCCAACACCCCAGTGGTCAGGGATTTTCTCCTGGGCTAAGTGATTCTCTGGACCACGCCACAAGGAAGCTACATAGAGAGCCTTCCCTCCCACCATCACCCATGATAGCCCACGAGTGAGGTAGACACTCGGGGGGCGCAAGGCGGTGTTGGGCATTCCCTGGGATCCGAATGCGGGAGTCGAAGCTCCAGAGCTGCCCGCGGTGCGTCTGCACCCTCCTCCCCTGTTGGAGCAGTGTGGCCGGTGACTGAAGGTGCTGGACTCTAGAAACGCATGCTCTGGGCATCGACGTGCTGCCCGGGAACTGCACAGCACGGTTTCTCCAGGTTGGCTGACTAACAGGACCTGGTGCACGGGAAGTGATGGTGACCTCCCAGGCTCTGCCCAGCAGTGCCAAGGACATTGCACCCGAGGCTGTGGTGGTGGCCTGATGGGCTTGAGCTGAGATTGACATTCAGGTGGCATCTGAGAGCTTAGAGCCCATGAGTGCTGACTCAGCAGTGGAGCTGCTCACCTCAAGTGGGGGAGGTGCCAGGACCGTGTGCTGCCCTGTGTGCTGCGGCCACGCCAAATGGTGCTGTGTGGACTTTGAGCGCTCACCTCTGCATGTCTGGAGTGCGTCCCAAGTTCCTACTTGACATGGCCAGTGCCCCACTCCCTGCAAGGAGCTGAGTGTCCACTCAAACTAAAATCAGCTCTCTGTAGGCAGGGACTGCCAGAGGGACGGCAGGGAGGAGGCCATTCTCCCTGAGGCTGGGTTGGCAGAGGAAATATGTTTTCTATCTGAACGTCACACCACAAGAATATTCTCCAACAAAACTGCCAGAGTGGACTTTTATTTTGAAGTCTATAAAATAAGCATTTTCCAAGAACTTCAGAGCACTTGGTGACCCTGATGACTTGTCTTGGGTTGCTAGAGGACATCTGACTTCAGCAGGCATGGCTGTCCACACCCTGTCTTGGGAAACAGAGATCACAGATGCGGGTCCCCAGCAGGTGTGAGAACCCGGAGGGAGGGAGACTCCATCCCAGCTGCCCCCAAGGGCCATGCTGGGGCCAAGGGCGCCCAGGAAGAAGCGCATGCGCCCTCCGAGTGGCAGCTCAGCAGAGCCTCTTTCCCACAGTGTGACCTGTGATGGGGAAATGGGTCGCTGAGGCAGGCTGTCTGCTCTGGCACCTGTGCAGCCATGGAAAGTACAATGAATTGATGCAAGAAAAAGATTTTTTTTTTTCCAAGAAGAAAGACCTTTAGTAGTTTAAGGCCAACCAAACTAAAATCCCAGAAAGCAATTGCCCTTTCGTTTGGCTGATGGTTGATGAGAGGGTGTGGTTGGCCTCACAGCAGGTGAGGCAGAAGCCTTCTCCCACGTCCCCTGGTGTATGCTTCTCCTTCCTCTCGGTCTTCTCTTAGGTCTGGTTAATAACCCTGGGTACATTTTCGTGTCTCATGAAATAGGAGTGCCACCTGGCAAATAAGGCAACAGTTAAAGTGCCCCCAAAATGATTTTTGGAGCTAACGGTCATTCAGGTCATCCTGGGTGGATGATTGACGTGTCTGGGTAGCTCTGGGAGCTGCCCCTGCTCCTAACCAGGAGCTGAGCTCCACTTTGAAAGCCAGACGGTGAACTCCGAAGAGCCCGGCTGTCTGAGGCCGTGAGTCATGGTGGTCCCTCTGCAGCCTCCAAGGCCCGAGGGAAAGCAGCTAGAGAGGCTCAGGGGGCCTCCAGCACTGCGGCTCACCTTGTCCGTGGGGCCCTGGAGAAGAACGTCTGCAAACCTCCGGCTCTTTCCCTCTCCCTCCCCTCCATCTCTCCCTCTCGTTCCCGTTCTCTCCACACATGTCTCTGTCCTGCCCAGCGACTCCGCAGGGACTGTAGGTCGTGCCCCATCATGTAGTGCGCTTTCCAGCGGGACTCCTGCAGTGAGTCTGTGACACTTTCCTACAGCCAGCCTGTCAGTGCTCGAGGAGCGCTGGCTCCTGTGGGTGGGGAAAGGTGCACATGACTCTCCTGGGGACTCGGTGCCCGGGTTAGCGGGAAGCTCCCGTTCAGGTGCCAAGGACAGACTGCGCTGTGGGAAAATCACCTTATTGTACTGAACGTAAAAGGATCATCATGTTTTGCAGTCGGTAATGTTTTAGTGTGACTGATCAAACTCATCCTCATTCTGAAAAAGAATTCAAAGTGGCTCAAAGGAAACGATAGAATACACACAAGGTCAACATGAAGAAATACTAAGAAAATTGAGAGCTGAGACTGGCGTCCACGTCTGTCACTGAGTGCCCGGGAAAGGAAGTGCCCTGCTTCCTCCGTTCCTCCTGGAGGAAGCCTGCCGCTGGCTCAGAGGAGACGGAAACCATTGGCACTAAGTGGCAAGAGAGGCACCTGTGGAGCCTCACTGTGCTGTCCTCCTCACACAGCAACCAGATGTGGCTGCAGCGGGGCACGTGGCTTCCCCATGGCTGGGTCCTCCATGGCATTACGGAAGAGCTGCACCGAGGTTCCTGGGCTGGTGAGGCTGCATATCAGGGGCACCATCTGCCTTCTTGATGTGCAGAGCTCAGTGTGACCAGATGAGCAGTCAACACTTGGCAACCACCCTCCTGGGCAGCCGTTTTCTCCCCAGGCACCTGGGCTGCTGGACAGGGCCCTCCCGTGTGCTGTGTTGCTGATCACACAAGCCCACTTGCTCGGTGAGCTGATTTGTTCCTCTCCTGTGAAGGGTGGTGCTCCTGCCCCTCTGCTGTGAAGCCCAGAACTCTCCCACAGAGCAGTGGCCCTGGAAGGACCAAGGACAAAGTTGGCCCTCCCTTGGCACAGCAGACTTGGATGCACCTTAGTGTTTGATCAGAGCTCCTTTGAGTTCCTCAAGTTCCAAGCTGAGGACTTGGGATTCAAAGTTTTAACCTTGAAAACATTGAAAAGCCAGCTGCAGTGCCTTTTGGAACATCTTGGCTTCCTGGCGACATGGCTGCCTGGGCCATCTTCTCTAGCAGAACCCAGCCTCTCTACAGAGCTCAAGGGGCAGAGCTGTGTGTGAATGACTCATCACTGACCAGTTCCACTCTGGAGAAGCCTTCCTAAGGGGGCATTCAGGTTTTGTCTGACTGCTCTTAGCACACTTCCCAAGGGGGTTATATGCATTCCTGATCCTGGTTTAAAACAACAAGTTACACTTCCTTGATCTTTGCTTACGGGATAGGAAGAGAACTTAAACATGGTGCCTTATATAGGAGAGCAGCCTCCCCGAGTGTGTAACCATGGGAAGAACCCCACGCCATTCCCTGAAAAAGGCACCCCGAAGGTAGGCTCCTCCCCTGCAAGCCATCAGACCGGCACCCCACAGGTTTTCATGACCTAGATTAAAGTTGCAGACCCGCCCACCATGTGCACAGCGCTGAGAAGGAAAGCTGAGGAGCACGGGAAGCCAGCCAGAGTAGCAAGAACACAACTGGCTTGTCCAGCATCCTTAAGGACCAGCCCTTGACCGATGCAGAGGCCTTCCAGCCACCAGACACATCTGCCCACCATCAGGTTGACCCCATTCTGTGGACTGCTCACAACTGAGCTCTGCTTACTTCACCAGGAACCCCCACCAAGTGGAGGGTCCCAAATTCTAGATTTTGTGATCCTGGAAAGAGCAGGTGACAGGCCCTGTCTGTCTCTGGGTGGCCTCAGGTCTTCATGCATGGCCCTGGGTGATCCTAGGAAACTCCACATGGTCCTGACATTCCTTGCTGGTGCTTGATGATCTCGTGTGGCCCCGTGAGGTCCTAGGGAGCCCTGGATGATCATACATGAACCTGGGAGACTGAATGGTCAGGCCTGGCCTGGGTGATTGCAAATAGCCCCAGATGACCCTGCTTACCCTGGGTAGTCTCAGGGGAAGGTAGGGGTGCCTGTGGGTGGCCACAGATGGCCTTGGGTAAGTTTGGGTAACCTAATGGGCAAGGATGAGCACAGTTGGCTGTGAGCCGTCCTGTGACTATGGTGTCCCTGGTTCATCATGGATAGTGCTGGGTGCCCTTAGTGGTCCTTGGGCCTGGGTTGCTGTGGATGGTCATGGAGGACCCCAATTATCCTCTGATGACACTGAGCATTCGTGGGTGACCTTTGATGGCCTAATTGGCATGGGCATCTCAAGATGGCCCAGGGTGATACTGTGGCCATAAGTGACGTAGATGATTTTGACAGTTTTATGTAGACAGAGTGGCCCCATATAACCCTGGGTTATGTTCTCTTGGATGACCCAGAGTAGCCCCCACATGACCCTAGATGAGCCTGAGTGGCTGTGATGGCAATGGATGGTCCCCACTTGCCCTGTGTGGCTGTGGGTGACCTTGATATGCCTAGGTGGCTCTGGATGATCTAGAGTGGCCCCAGATGCTGGGTGTCCTTAGCTAGCCCTAAGGGTCCCTGCAGGTACCAGGGTGGTCTCATATACCCTGGGTGGCCCTTAGAGACACCCTGATGTCTCTGGCTAGAGGAGAGGGCCCTTCCCTAAAGTCACAGCCTGAGGCCTGACCAGCCCCTCCATGAGCCTCCGTGTGTGTCACCTGGCACTGTGGAGGCCAGAGCCCTGCCAGCTCGAGGGGTGCCAGGGCCACTGCTGACGGCCCTATGTCGCCCGCCAGGCGTGGGCTTCACGGTCATCCTCATCTCGCTCTACGTGGGCTTCTTCTACAACGTCATCATCGCCTGGGCGCTGCACTACCTCTTCTCCTCCTTCTCCGCGGAGCTGCCCTGGGTGCACTGCAACAACTCCTGGAACAGCCCCAACTGCTCCGACGCCCGCACCGCCAACGCCAGCGCCAGCCTGGGCCCCAACGACACGTTCGGGACCACGCCCGCCGCCGAGTACTTTGAGTAAGTGGAAGTTCCACTCCTACAGGCCTGCAGAGTGGCCGGGTGGCAGGGCTGGCCCCCAGGGCAGCCCCGAGGGCACCCAAACCCTGCCCTGCTGCTCCCAAGGTGGGGAGGGGATCCTCTGTCCTGTCTGGAGCTGCCATTGACCTGCTTCTCCACTTCCTGGTGGAGGGAGCTTCTGAATCCCACAGGGGTCCGGCAGCTCAGCAGCTCTGGTAGAAGAGCCCCTCACTATCCATCCCGCTTCCCCGTGGGGAAGGAGCCTCCCGGGTGCTGAGGGGAAGTGCGCTCGGCCTCTGTTCTGGCCGCCACTCTCTGCACGTTGGGTCGGCCACGCTGGTGCGTGCAGGCTCCACTCTCTCCAGCAGAGGGGCTCCTGGGCAGTGCAGCCTGGCCCTTGGGGTCATCAAGGGGGTGTGCACTAGCTGCAGCCCACTTTCGTGAGCTTTTCTCTTCTTACAAACACAACTTTATTGCCTTCACTGGGTTCCTCCCCTGTCTAGAGGCCCCTTCCTCTGCTGCCCCAGCCCACCCCGTGCCCTGCAGGCTCCCCCTGGCCTTCTGTCTCCTCCTGCCATCCGCTTGCCAGGCCTGACCCTCTGCAGGCCATCTTCAGGCCAGCCCCTCTCCTGGAATCTGTTTTTCTCTGAGTCCTTCGATCCTGCACCCACTCCTTCGTCCCCTTCTCCATCACCAGGTGGCCTTGCCTGGAAGGGCTGTGACCTCTGCATAGGTCCACCCCTCCCCTGGACCCTCTGGAACCAGATGTGTGTGTGCATGAGAAAGCTCGCTGTGGGGAGCCACACTGGGCTACTGGTGGTCCTTCCCTGATCCTGTTTCCAGCAAGAGTTTTACCCTGGGCTGTGGTTGCACAGGATCTGCAGGACAGCTGGGTGGCCCTGGAGGATGCAGGGGGGCATGAGGCCTGGGTACAGTGACAGGTGCCGAGCCAGCACCTGTCCCAAGTTTCAGGTGGACGCCAGTGTACTTTGGAGTACATGGGAAGGTTGCAGAGATGTCACCTCTCTGTCACCTCTCGGAAGGTGTGGGGTGTCTGTTCATCTGCGTGATTTTCAGATTAGAAGGTCAGGCAGAGAATTCAGTGATTTGTGATGAATGGAGGAAGGAATATGCATGTTTCAGAAATCAGACTATCTGAGACAGATGGAGAGGCGATGGAGCTCTGTGCTCCAGGAAGGTCTGGCCACTGTCATTGGAAGCAGCTGGGCAGAGGCAGGGAGGGGAAGCAGGAGGACCCACAGCCCCGAGTGCCGAGGAGCCTCTCCTGGCACCGAGGTGCCCGCTGTGCCTCCCAAACGCTCCCGGGCTTCACTCCCCTGAAGCCTCAGGCCCAGCGACCTCCGTGCACAGGTCTGCAGGGGTCTGGAGTTTAGACCCCCTTTATAATGAGCTCACCGTGAAGGAGAAGCAGGCTCCTACAGGCTCCGTGTCAGGAGCCTAGGTCACACTGTACGGCAAAGAAAGGCCACGGTGGTGACAGTAATGAGTGTGCGTCCTGCAGGTGGGCACCCACCCGTAGCAGTCAGCCTCCCTGTGCTGTGTGAATTGCGCCTCTCCATGGATCTGAGGACTGAGGGTCAGTTAGCATGGCAAGCAAGAAGCCTGAGCCCGGAAAGTGTGGCCTGCGTGGCTCCAGGCGTTTTTGAATGCCCCTCACTGCCATGGACACTTGCTAAGTCTGCCTTCACCCGCTTTCTAACACAGAGTAGAAAGTCCTGAATTTAGAGCTATGAGTTTTCCTCTAAGGGACCAGTTTAGCTACATCTTACAAAGTTGGAGATGTATTTTCATTTCCATTCAAGGGAAGGTATTTCTTAATCTCACTTATGATTTCGACTTTGACTAATGGAATATTCTTAGAAGTTGATTGTTTAACTTTGAAGTATTCGGAGGTTTCCTAGATGTTTCTGTTATCAATTTCTAATTTAATTTCATTTTGACAAAATGACATAATTATAAAAGTTTAATCTTTTAAAATTTACTGAGGCTTGTTCACGGCCTGCTGTGTGGTGCATCTGGGGAATGCTCTGTATGGACCCTCTACTCTGGTAGCTTGGTGGAAGATGCATCTAAAAAGAATGGGTTTTTAAACGCACGGTGGCCCGGCCATGCTGGTGCACGTCTAATCCCAGCACCTCAGGAGGCTGAGGCAGGAGGATCACTAGTTTAAGGTCACCTCAGCAACTTAGTGGTGTTTGGATCCTACAGAGCGAGGGTCCCAGGGGCTGGGTGTTCAAGGCCAGCCAGGCAACACAGTAAGACCCATCTCAAAAGAAAGAGCATGCTTTTTGCTGTCGGGGGCGTCAAGGGAATGGTCCGCTGGTTGGTGTCCTCGGTGCTGCTCAGTCGCTGTGTCTGCAGGGAGTTGCTGTCCCCTGCTGGCCAGGTCCTGGGAAGGGTGTCGGGACCCCCTGCAGTGGTGAGCTTGCCTTTCCTCTTCATGCTCTCTTGGCTGCACTGCGTCCGGAGGCTCCGGGATGAAGGCAGGTGTGTGCGTGAGTGTCGGCCTTTGGTTTGACCCCCTGGCCATCATGCTTGCCCTTTGGGTCACCTCCTCCTGAAGCTGCTTTTCTGGCAAGAATATGGCCACCCCGCCATCAGGAGTGGTGGCCATGTCGTGACCTGTTCCCGCTCTGGCATTTGACCTGTGTGTCCTTCACTCAGAGTGGGCTTCTGGTACACAGCATAGTCTCGTGTGACAGTCTGCCTGTGATTGTCATCTGTATGGTGGGGTTGAAGTCTCTCTCTTGCTATTTTTTCAGTTGGTGTCACCTCTCCTCTGGGGTTAATCAGCTCTGAGGCTTCCCCTCATCCGCACTGCGGGTGACCAGGCTCCAGCCCCTCGTGCCTCGTGGCCAGGTGACGTTCACGTCGCGTGGCTCCACGGCTCCGGACAGCCCCGCAGCCTGCTCCCTCCTCCCAGTCTGTGTGGCCATGTCAAGGTCCTCCCCACACTGTGCTGCCGACTGTCCTGGCTGGGATGTGCTCTAATGGCGGCCCGGAGATCCGTCCCACCCTCCCGCCTGCCAGCACCTGGCCTCGTCTTTGTGGGGAGGCTCCTTCTGGCCCACTGCCCCCCACGTGAGGCACCCCCATGAGCACGGTGCCAGTGACTCGCTGGCCTCCTGAGCGTGCTCTTCCTTCTCGGGGGCTCCCAGGTTGCAACTGCACATGAATTCAGTGCTTTCCCGTTTACGCGCAGGTCTGTGGCGCACTGAGCGCGTTCACACAGTGGGAGACCATCGCCACCACTCATCTCCACTGTGTTCGGCTTCCCAAACCTGAATTCTGTCCCCACTAAACTCAATTGGAGTCCCCCCAGGCCTGGCCCCCACATTACAGGTACCAGCTGATGCCTCCGATGACCCCGGGGCGTCCCGCCCGTGGACCATGGGGGTCTTTTGCTCTGACCCACTCCTCTTAGGGTACACCTTCAGGGTCCACCCAGTGCCAGGGCTTGACTTCATTTTCAGCCCAGCTGGCTCTTGGTCTTGATGACGTCCTGCAGCTGCCTGGACCCCTGGGCAGCTGGGGCTTTCCGGCTGCTGCGGACCCATGGGAATGTGGGTGCACGTGGAGTGTGAACCCTGCTTTCCTTCCCTTTGAGTGTGTGCCCAGACGCAATGCCAGCGTCCCGGGACAGCCTGAGCTTGACCTCGCAGCGCGGCCCTCACACCCCGGCAGTGCCCACGGTTCCCAGCTTCTCCATGCTGGACCACACCTCTTTTCTGCCTGTTTCTTGGCTCAGATGACCTCCATCCGTGTGGGCAGTGCAGCTTCTCATAGTCTGGGTTGGCGCGTCCCTAGTGACTGGTACATTCAGTGTCTGCCCACGTGCTGGTTGGCAGTGGTGCACCTGCGGGGAGGAGCGCCAGCCGGAGCCCACCCTAGCGTGGAGGGCTGTGCCGTGCTGTTGGTCCTGGGAGTCCTTCCTTCTGGCTGCCACTCTGTTGCTCAGCGGGGAGTTGGGCGCGTCTTCCCCCTTCCACAGTCCCTGCTCCCTCGCTGATGGACTCCTCGGACGTACAGACGTCTTGACACCTGATGACGTCAGACTTGTCTAGGTTTCACGTGTGTCTAGGAATCCGCTGTCGAACCCCAGGCCGAGCCGACGTCCCCGTCTCCTCCCCGGAGAGTGCAGTGTCTGTGCCGACTCAGTCTTTTCCCACGGTGGACGTGGACCTCACTGGTCTCATCCTGGTTTCAGTTCACATTTCTTGTTCCTGTCCCTCCTTTCCTACAGATTCCTGCAGGTGGTCACCAGGACTTAGTGTCCAGGACTGGAGCCTGGCTCCACCCCACCCCCTCTCCTTGTTACCTTACACTCTGCCCTTTGGGGACAGGAGCCACATGGGGACCCTGATGGAGCCCAGAGAAGAGTCATCCCAAGTCCGTCCCTGAGGAGCCTCCTTGAAGCAGCCGGGCAGTGGGAGGGGTCAGGAGCCTGTTATTGCTCAGAGCTGCTCGGCCTTCAGGAAGCCTGGGGCCATCTCGGGCAGCAGCCTCCCTCTGGTTCCTGGGGTTCCCTCCCCACAGACCCAGGGAACCCGTTCCCTCCCCACTCCAGACAGCAGGGTGCCATGGGCAGGCGGTGAGGGCCGGGTGTCCAGAAGCCTTGGGGACGGGCTGGTGGGCTGGACCTTCCAGAGCAGGCTTTCTGGTTGGTCAGATCCCGTGCCTGGTCGGGTTCCCAGCCTCTCCCTGGGTGTGACTGCTGTGTCCCTGCTGAGCAGGGAGGGCAGGTCTCTGGCCAGCTGTCCAGGTCGGGGTGTGGTGGCTGCCCTCTGAGCCCCTGTGCCCCTCCAGGCGTGGCGTGCTGCATCTCCACGAGAGCCGTGGCATCGACGACCTGGGCCCTCCGCGGTGGCAGCTCACAGCCTGCCTGGTCCTGGTCATTGTCCTGCTCTACTTCAGCCTGTGGAAGGGGGTGAAGACCTCGGGGAAGGTGAGTGCTGGGCCCCGCCACCAGGTGTGGACACAGGATGGTGGTCAGGTCAGGGTGGATGCACAGCCATGGTCGGGACACATGCCATAGCTGAGTCAGCATGGACAAGTGTCTGTCCATGGGCAGAAGTGGACATGTGGCCCTGTGGGGTTGAGGAGATACTTGCTGTGTTTGGGGAAGGAAACGGAGAGGGAATCACCCACAGCAGGTGGTTTCCAAAGTGAAGACAAGCACAGGGGGTGCTGGCGCACTCTCTCTCTCTCTCTCTCTCTCTCCTATGAAAGTGCTGTGGAGGGACGTGGGTACCCAGAGCAGTTTTAACACAGCGGTCACTGCACTTGTGGTAGGCACACTCAGCCCTCCGGGACAGCAGTCCTCTCACTCCCAAGCAAGGTCAGCTGGCGTGCCCCTCACCCATCGGGAGCCCAGCCACTCCTGCCCACTGCAAGAGGCCTGGAACACACACAGGACAGAGGCACACAGCACACACAGGACTGCGGTCCACTCAATGAGCTTCCCTGGGCTGCATTTGTGTGACACGCAGGACACCAGGCGGCCCTCAGAGGCCACCTCCTAGCACTCACCACTTAGGTGACCCTGTGCTGCTCTCCTGCCAGCACCTGATGTACCACGGCCCCCTCCCAGTGGCCTGGGCAGTCCAGTGTCACCTGCTCTTTGCAGGTTGTGTGGATCACAGCCACCATGCCTTACGTGGTCCTCACCGCCCTGCTCCTGCGCGGTATCACCCTCCCTGGGGCCCTGGACGGCATCAGAGCCTACCTGAGCGTGGACTTCTACCGGCTCTGCGAGGCATCTGTGAGTAACCCCCGGTGGACCCCAGACCTCGAGGGCTGGCAGGGCCCAGGCCATGAGCACCTACGTTCTGGCCCGGGAGTCCCACAAGCAGTGGGCAGGAACATCTCTGTCCAGCAGGTGCAGGCCGGCTGGCACCTGCACTGTCAGGCCAGGTGAGGGGCCTGTGCAGAGCAGGGAGCCCGAGCAGGTGCAGGGGGAGGACCCTGGGGGGCAGTCCTCCAGGCAACCCCAGGGCTGCCTCGCGCTCCTCCCCTTTGCCACCTGCTGCCAGAAGGGTGCCCGGGAGTTCTAGAAAACACCGTGCGGCTCAGCCGGCTGCTGCGGTTCCCCGTCCACCAACCCGCAGTGCTGCCTGCGCCAGGGTCTCCTGGGCCTGAGCACAATAAGAGGGTGACCTCAATCTGGTCCCGGGGGAAACCAAATCTAGTCAGGCCGCACAGAGGGAGAGAGCCTCTGGGTTAAAGCATGTGGATGGAGCGGCCTCAGAGAGGCCAGGTCTGGCCAGGCCCTGCGGGGTGGGTCCCCGCGGGAGGGAGAAGGGACAGTGCTGTTTGGGCAAAGAGGAGTACAGTGGCCCGTGGCAGGGGCTCCTGGGCGCGGGTGGTGGAGAGAGCAGCTCTGTGGGGATGTCAGATTCAGGTGGACAAGGCGGGATGGCCGGGCGGAGGCCATCCAGGGGTGCTGTCACTGTGGGAAGGGGCAGCAGCAGGGGACGGCGGGGGCAGGAGGCCTCCGCAGGTGTGGCGCTAGGCAGGTAAGGCCAGGAGTCAGTTCCAGGTGCGCAGGGAAGCAGGAAGACGAGGACAGGGAGGAGGGCGGGCAGGAGGTGGTGAGGCAAGCCCAGCTGAAGATGGAGGCCAGGCCTGAGGACAGTGGACGCCTGGGGCAGTGGTGGCCTCAGGGCACAGGAGACCTGAGAGCTGCAGAGGCCTGAGGGCAGTGGACAGGAGCACCCTGGGGGCTGGGGCGTGGAGGAGCCGGCAAAGGGGACTGTGGTGTGGACCAGGCCAGGCGAGATGCAGCCGTCAGCAGCAGGGCAGAGGGCGCGGTGGGCAGCACGGCAGGGTGGGCCAGCAAGGGAGGGTGGGCAGTAGGGCAGGGTGGGCACAGGGCAGGGTGGGCAGAGTGGAGGGTGGGCACAGGGCAGGGTGGGCAGAGTGGAGGGTGGGCAGAGTGGAGGGTGGGCAGAGTGGAGCGTGGGTAACAGGGCAGGGTGGGCAGAGTGGAGGGTGGGTAACGGCAGGGTGGGAGCAGGGCAGGGTGGGCCAGCAAGGGAGGGTGGGCAGTAGGGCAGGGTGGGCAGAGTGGAGGGTGGGCAGAGTGGAGGGTGGGCAGAGTGGAGGGTGGGTAACAGGGCAGGGTGGGCAGAGTGGAGGGTGGGCACAGGGCAGGGTGGGCAGCCGGGCAGGGGATGCCTACGGGAGGTATGTTCCAGAATCCAGGGCAAAGCAGGGGCCACCTAGAGCACAGGGCTTCAGCAGGAGCAGGCAGCCTGCAAGAGGGCAGCAGGTGCACGTGTGGGAGGCACTCCGCAGAGGAGAGCGGGGCCCAGACGTGAGGGCGTGGAAACCAGGGGACAGAAGGAACAGGTGGGCAGTAGGACGGTGGCTGGAGGCTGGGCAGGAGGCCGACGTGGGTAGGAGACTGAGGCAGGCGGTGGACGATGGCTGCGCAGACGGGTGGGCAAGCAGCGGGGAAGAGGCTGGGGAGGGCAGGACTGAGGGCCTGGGCCCGGTGCTGGCCCAGGCTGGGGTGACATCAGTTGGGCAAGGGCCAAGGGCTATGCAGGAGGCAGGACTCGTCAGTGCTGCCCCCGCTGCCCACAGCCACCTGAGCAGGGGTGGCATGATCACTGGCACTGGGGCCACAGGACAGCAGAGCAGGGACCCCCTTGCCCGCTGCCCGCCTGACCATGCTGGGCCACCTCTTCAGCCCTGACGATCAGCTGGCCAGCTGCTCTCTAACACAGGTCCCCAACATGGTGGCCCTGGGGATCTTGACATTCTGTCCAAAGGACGGAGGCACCTGGTGCCCTGCAGCCCGAGGCTCCAGCAGCCCGAGGCTCTGGCCTCCTCTGCGTCCAGCTCGCCTCCCTCAAACAGGGGAGTCGCCTGGGACACTGGAGGCCTCCAGCCCTCCCTCCCACCCCACAACCCGAGGGAGCTCCTGCTGTCATTCCTTGGATTCAGCCCCAGACGCCTCAGGTAGCGGCCTCTGCCCAAACCCTCGGGGCTTCTCCTCAGCCTCCCACGGGCTGTGCAGGAGTCGGACAGGCCTGGGCTCTGATGGCCTTTGCAGGCCCTGACGTGAACAGTCATGTACCACAGGCAGCTACTGACCTGCATACTTTCCTTTCACATTCAGGAAGTGGGCCAGCCACCTGCTGGATACCAACATCTGGCCTCAGGTGGCCCCCAGCTCCTGGGCACCGCTCATGCTGGCTCACTGCTGGGTTTGGGGTGCTGGGAAAGACACAAAGCACGAGTTAGCAGGTCAGGGGGACCATGCCGAGCGGCGGGGCCACGCGGAGTGTCGGGGGCCACTCGGAGCGTCGGCTCACTGGTGCTTTAACACGCAAAGCAGCTTCAGTGGGAAGGGACCAGATGCCCCTGGTCGTGTGGAACAGCTGTGTGGACGCTCTAAGGGGATCTCAGACATAGGCAGACCACGCAGACCTGCCCCCTTTCTCTCAGGCCAGTGGTGCAGGAGGGTCACTCCCTTGGTGGCATTTGCCACCGCCAAGCACTCTGCTAATGCCATTTGCTTCCTACAGGGTGGGAGGAGGGAGGCTCGCTGCTCCTTGGAGTCCGAGGCTTTCAGCTGCAGAGGTCCCCGAGGTGGGTGGGCGAGGAACGCCCTCCTGCGTTGCCTCTAGCAGCGGTCTCACTACTCCCGGCTCTGCAGGTCTGGATAGATGCTGCCACCCAGGTGTGCTTCTCCCTGGGTGTTGGGTTCGGGGTGCTCATCGCCTTCTCCAGCTACAACAAGTTCACCAACAATTGCTACAGGTAAGTCCTGAGCTGCAGCGGCCCTCAGAGGTCTGTGAGAGCTAGTCGGCATCACTGCTGGCCGGTGGCCGGGAGAGGGACGCTGACGTGGGGAAACGAGGGTCCCTGGAAGCTCAACCCTGCTTGCACAACCTCTGGCCACACAGATTTTTAAATGGAAAATAAGGTGGGCACTCAGTGAGATCTTAATTCTCACTTCGAGGAAGGTATCGAAACCCATGGGTTTGGGGTCTTGGTCCCTAGGAATGCGTGCCCCCTCCTGGGGAGGACCTTCCTGGAGGGGACACAGTGGGGCAGCACAGCCAGCCCTCTGCGCAGACATGCTCTCCTCCTGCCACCTCCTCCCCAGGCCAGCGCAGCAGTCTTTGTCCCCTTGCTCAGGGTCCAACCTCACCAAGACGCCTACCCCAAGGAGCCACCTCAGTGTGCCCCTCAGGCCTGCACTGAGGGAGCCTGGACCCCAGGATGGCATGCCAGACCCTGAGGAGACTCGGCTGGTCCACCAGCTCAGGAGGGCGCGGGCCACCTGCAGCCTCATGCCAAACCCAAATCCTCCCAAAGCAAACAGAATCGAGTCTGAGTCCTGCTTCCTCCCACCCTCAGAGCCTGGTTCACTTTCTTTCACATCATGAAGATTAAATTGCACAAAGTTCAGACTGAGTGCAGCGAAACGGACAGTCAGACCATGCAGGAGGCCCCCAGCTAGCCCCAGCCCAGAGTCCACCCCGTGTCAACCGGGTCCAGGCTCTCTGCGGGTGAAATGCACTCTTCTGCGGCAGGCTGGCCACATGGACCCAGGAGGAGAGCGCTGGCCGCCTGAGGGCCCTGGCCCCTCCTGGCTTGCCTCTGGCCCTCCAGTGAGGACCTCAGACTGGCAGCACCAGCGTCCCCATGTGTGCCTGCACACACAGCGGCCACTGGGCCACCGCTCAGGATCTGCATTTCAGTGATGTCACAGGGGTGTGCACACCTCTGGTCCTAGAAGCCCTGCTTGGCAGCCCCCTGGCAAAGGGGGCAGTTACCACCCTGGGCCAGCAGAATATAGGCTGTTTCACCCACCCTGAGGCAGGAGGTCCAGGGTGGCCACAGGTCAGGCCCTGCCGGGCTGCAGAGGGCTGCCGAGCTCATCTGGAGAAGCAGCCCCTCTAGAGCTCCTGCCCCCCCCCCCCAGACACAGGAAATGGAGAGTAATGACTGGGAAATTACAGGGCTGCAGCTCGGCTGGCACCAACGGCCTGTCTTGTCCTTGCAGAGACGCGATCGTCACCACCTCCATCAACTCTCTGACCAGCTTCTCCTCCGGGTTCGTCGTCTTCTCCTTCCTGGGATACATGGCACAGAAGCACAACGTGCCCATTGGGGACGTGGCCAAGGACGGTGAGCCCAGCCCCGCCCCACCTTCCCCACTCCCCAAGATGAAAAGGGAACAGGCGGGGCCTGAGCCTCCGTCCATGAGTGTCTGGCTTGAACAAGGGCAACCTAACAGTGCCCGCCCCACAGCAGCCTGCTGTCAGAAGCAGCGTCAGCCCCCAGCCCTCTGCAGTCCCCTGCCCTCTGCAGCCCCTCAGCCCTCTGCAGCCCCCTGCCCTCTGCAGCCCTCTGTAGCCCCCCGCCCTCTGCAGCCCTCTGCCCCTGCATCCCCCTGCCCCCTGCAGCCCTCTGCAGCCCCCTGCCCTCTGCAGCCCTCTGCAGCCCCCAACCCTCTGTAGGCCCCCGCCCTCTGCAGCCCCCACCCTCTGCAGCCTCCAGCCCTCTGCAGCCCCCCAGCCCTCTGCAGACCCCTGCCCTCTGCAGCCTCCAGCCCTCTGCAGACCCCTGCCCTCTGCAGCCCTCTGCAGACCCCTGCCCTCTGCAGACCCCAGCCCTCTGTAGTCCCCCACCCTCTGCAGCCCTCTGCACCAGGCCAACATGGCCAACAGAGCCACAAGTCCCCAAAGCACCTCACACCTCTGTCCCTCAACACATGCTTCCTGCAGACACCCTGAGTCCTTTGGCAAGGTCTGAGGAGGACATTGTCCCTCAGGGCCTGTACCCTGATGGAGGTACCTACAGCTCCAGGGAGGGGGACTGAACTGCTGCAGTTGCATGTGACACAGGTCTAAGCAGTGCTGGCCTTGCCACAACCAAGCTGGCTTGTTCTTGATGTCAGCAATTAATCTGTTTCTGACCAAGATCCAGAGATCATGACGTACGTAGATAGAATTTAGGTCACAGAGAAATCCCCAAAGTCCCTGGCATGTGGACTCTCACTCATACAGCCTGCTTTCAGATTCCAAATGTCTTTCCACACCTGTGTCTTATAACTGAGAAAGTGGGAGGGCTGTAGCACTGTGTGTTTGAGTGGCATGGTGTCTTAGTCTGTTTTCTTTTGCTGTAATGAAATACCTGAGATTGGAACTTTATAAAGCAAAGAGGTTTAGCTGGGCATGGTGGTGCATGCCTGTAATCCCAGTGGCTTGGGAGGCTGAGGTAGGAGGATCTCAAGTTCAAAGCCAGCCTCAGCAAAAGCAAGGATTTTGCTTCCTGCTGACCCTGTCTCTAAATAAAATACAAAATAGGGCTGGGGATATGACTCAATGGTTAAGTGCCCCTGTGCTCAATCCCCAGTACCCACCACCAAAACCAAGAAAAGAGGCTTGCTTAGCTCACAGAGTCCAAGAGCTGAAAGTGACATCTACTTTGCCTGTGGAGCTGGCACCAGCTCCTCTCTGGTGAGGGCCTCAGGCAGATGGCATCCATGCAGTGGAAGGGACAGGGCTGTGTGCAGATAGGCCATGATAACCACTGCACCCAGATGGACCTGCCCCACCTCAACAGTGCCATCACCAGCTGACCTCCTCCTGGGGCCCAGAGTTGGAGGAAGGGCCACCTTGCCTGTGCCCTGAGCACTGGCCACAGCCAGCCTTGGTTACCCACTTGGTCCCCAGAGGCCACGCAGTAGGACCCTCGCTTTGCAGGTAGAATCTGGGCAGGTCCTGAGAAGGCTGCCCCCCCCGCACAGCGAGTGATGCTGGCACGGGCAGGAGAGGAGCCCCGGGAGTGGCTCTGCCATTGCCTTCGCCGCCGTCACCCGTCCCCCTGCCCTTGGTGTGGTAAGTGGCGTTGGCCCTGAAGCCCCAGCGCCCGGAAGTGAGCTGCCTGTGTCTGCATTTCTGACAAAGAAGATGTCATTACAGCCCCAGTTCTCAGGACCCCAGGGCACAGTGCCAACTCAGGCAGAGACCACAGGTGGGCTCGCTGTCCTTGCCTTCCGCCAGGCCACAGCCTTCCCGGGTCACAGCTGACAGGGCATCCTGAGAGCTGCAGGGCGCCCAGGTCCAGCCGTGCTTGACGGCAGATCCCGGTGACCCTGTGGGTGTGGTTCTTTAAGACAGTGAGTGCGAGTTCCTCCTGTGGGCCAGACACGCAGAAGACGGGGGGTCGCAGGAGTTAGAGACTTGGGGTCGGCAGGAGACGTGAAGGTGCCCATCCACAGTGAGCTGGAACTGAGGCTGTCCGCCACATGGGGTGGGATCATCCAGGACCCTCTAGGATGGAGCTGTGTGGGGCTGTGCTGGAGGCCTGCCACTCCCCAGCCTGCTCCCCTGCCGTCCTCTCGGCTGCTTCTGCGAATGTCCCCAGTGAGGCCTGCAGGGGGCCACCCTGGGGCCTTCGCAGGCACCTCCCCTGGACCCTGCAAGGCCTCATCCTGTTGGGACAGCATGCCCCGGCTTTGCAGCTGATCTTAGGATCCTGGGTGTGCACCGTGACCAGGCCTCGGGCCCAGCAGCAGTGTTGCTTGGTCACCTCAGGCGTCCCCTGGGCTGAGTCTCTGCCTCCCGAGCCTCCAGGGCCTGCTGGGGGTGCCTGCATCTGTGTGGTCTTCCAGGGCCCCTGCTGCAGGGTGGTGGGGAGGTCAGCCACACGCTCATCCACGAGGTGCCCTCTTGGAAGTGACATCACCATGTCCGTTTGCGTTGAGTTGGCCGGAGTGAGCGTGGACAGTCGGGAAGCAGGTGTCAGCAGCATGCTTGTGACGTCCTTCTCACTTTACAGCCAGGCCACCAATAGTGTGAACATGGGTGTGCTTCTGTGTGCGCAGTGTTCATGCACATGTTGTGGCACACGCGTGTCATGTTTGTGCATTGTCATGAGTGTCCACCTGCATGTTTGGGAGTGTGCCTGTGTGTGGGCACGTGTGCTTGTGTGTGCCTGCACTGGAAAGACCTCAGGGCTAACTGGCAGCCTCGCAGGCTGCCCACGACCCTTCCGCCCTCGCTTCTGTTCCTGCCTTAACTGCTTCCCCTGCGCCCCAAAGCCCGGGCGCACACCAATGAGTGGGGACTCGGGTGGCGATGGGGGACAAGCACAAGCCCCTAATGGGTTCTGGGTGTGCGTATTCTGGGGTCTGGGCCAGGTGTGCGCTGAGTTCACAGGACGGAGGACCCTCAAGGAGAACGGCCGGAAAACCTCCCACCCGTCAGCCCCCCGGGCCCCCGACAGGGTGGAGCCGGCCTTCAGGGTGGGTGAGTGAGAGAGCCAAGCCCTGCAGTGACCAGAGCGGGTTTCCGTTGCAGGGCCGGGGCTGATTTTCATCATCTACCCTGAGGCAATCGCAACACTGCCCCTGTCCTCCGCCTGGGCGGTGGTCTTCTTCGCCATGCTGCTCACCCTGGGGATCGACAGTGCCGTGAGTCCGGTGGGCCCTGGCTGCTGTGCCCAGCCCCCTGGGGCCCTCAGCACCATGCTCGGCGTGTTCCTGGGGTGATGCCCTGGCATGGCCAGGCAGAGACCCAGAGACCCATGGATGGTCCCCCGAACCTCCCTGCTCAGCACAGAGCCTACTCAAGGGACGCAGGCCAAGTCATTCTAGACTCCTCTCCTCCAGATTGGGAGCTGAGTGGTTCCTGGAGCTCAGCTTACCCTTCCTCTTCCCCCTTGGGCCTTCAGTGTGTCCACCCTGGGCCCCCCAGAGTCTGAGCACACATGCAGCAGGCCCCAGCCACCAGAGGCCTGGCTCAGAAAGCATGACCAGCCGTAGGGCATGCACGGCCGGCAGTGGAGGCTGCCCGGGCCCTCGCGGGGCCTGGGCTGGCAGCACCTTCTCAGGGTCCTTCTGCCCCATGAGCTGAGCCTCGGGGGTCACAGGGTTGGCGGGAGGGGGCAGTGGCTCTTGCATTTGCCCATCCTGATGGGCCCAAGATATGCTTGCTGGAAAGCGTGGACCAGGAATCCCTTTCCCAAGCAGTGAGGGCCACCGGCCACAGCCCACCCTCACCCCCCACCCAGCTCGGTCACAGCCCTGTGACCCCGGGCCTCTGTGTTCCTGCACTCAGATGGAGGATGCTGACAGGACACAGGTCTCTGAGCAGCCTGGGCAGCCCAGCAGCACCCGGCTGCCCTCGAAGCAGAGCCTGGCCTGCAAGGTCCCGCGTGGTATTCAACATATGTCTGAGCCAATGCCTGGGGTGGCTGTGGTCACCCTCCAGGCCGCCCTCTGAGGGCCAGGTCACCAAGGAAGTGTCCCTCACGGAAGCCCTTTCTTCATACAGCTCTGAGCTATTGTGCAGGCCCCTCCCCCATGTCCCTCCCGGGTCACACCCCCCACGACAGGACTGTCTCTGCCGGGTGGTGCCAGTGCCCTGCTTGTGTCCTGCAGATGGGTGGCATGGAGTCCGTGATCACGGGGCTGGTTGACGAGTTCCCGCTGCTGCACCGGCACCGGGAGCTCTTCACGCTCGGCATCGTGCTGGCCACCTTCCTGCTCTCGCTCTTCTGCGTCACCAACGTACGCACGGGTCTTGCTCTCCCTGGCGTGGGCAGGTGGTTGGTGCCATCGGGCTGGGCAGGCCAGCTGCATCTCTCAGAAGCTGCAAGTCCCCAAACACAGTTCCCCGTAGCCCCACACAGGACAGCTGCCTGTCTGGAGCGTGGTCCCAGAGTGACGCCACCACCCAGGGAGCTCCGGGAAGCACCCTCAGTGGAACGTGGGGACGTGGGGGACTGGGTGGGCAAGGGGAGGAGGTGGCAGAAGAATCCTGAGCGTGGCACTTGCCTGTTTCTCCTGGAGTCCTGGGAAGGGGACCTAGTGTCAAGCTTTTCGTGATAGCTGCATGTGCTGGAGTTCAGTACTCTGGGCTCCGCGGGAGTAGACAGGACACATCTGCAGAGTGGACCCGCAGGCCAGTCCTGTGAGGGAGGCCCCACAGCAGGGATTCCCTCTGCTGGGGACCAAGTCCAGCCGGGCCCCCTCTCTTCCAGGGGGGCATCTACGTCTTCACACTGCTGGACCACTTCGCAGCCGGCACGTCCATCCTCTTTGGAGTGCTCATTGAAGTCATCGGAGTGGCCTGGTTCTACGGTAAGCCCAGAGTCACACTGCTGTGCTTTCTCTGTGGCCACCAGGCCGGCTTCCTCTTGCTTTCTGTGGGACCCATAGTCTGCAAGGCCACCAGGTGGTCTGGGCAGGGCAGGGGTCCTGGACACCTCCACGGAAGGCTGAGTGCAGCCAGAGCCTGGGGTCTGCAGGGTGGAAGCCCTGAGCATAAAAGGAACTGGCATGTGTTCAGTGTCATGGGAACATGGCTGTCCTGACCCTGTGGTCGCCACGTCCCCACCTCAGGTGTCCAGCAGTTCAGTGAGGACATCAAGCAGATGACGGGGCAGCGGCCCAGCCTGTACTGGCGTCTGTGTTGGAAGCTGGTCAGCCCCTGCTTCCTTCTGGTAAGTGCCACAGCCGCCCGTCACTCCGTCTCAGCCCCAGCTGGCCTGTGCCCAGGGTCTGGAGCCCGGGGCACTGTGGCTGGAGCTGGGGTCTCAGAACTCAGCAGAGGAGGCAGGTGGGTCCCCCACATCCTCTCTTGCCTCCCGAGGCATCTTCCACCTCGGCCTCTGGACAGGAACTCATGCAGGATTGCAGGACCCTTGGGCTACTCAGGTCCCAGCGAGTCCTGGCCTTGAGCTGTCCCTCTGTGTCGGAGGAAACCTAGAGACCAGCCAGGCCGTCTGCTGCGAGTCAGAGACAGAACTAGCCTTCCACTGTCCCCAGGGCCCCTCAGCCTGGGCATCATTAATGTGGCCAGTAAGCCCCTGGCTTAAAGCAGGGACAGGGATCCGACTGGGCCCAACTAGCAAAGTCCCCCAGCCACCTGTTTTTGTAGAGTTGCACCCAAATTTGGCAGCAGCCGGTGGCCTCAGGATGGACTCTGGCAGTCTCATCTGCTACAGCACAGAACAGGAGGCCTGTCAAAGCCAGAGCCCTGGCCAGTGCAGACGCTGGCTGTGTAGGGCTGCAGGTTGGAGCAGATCCTGAGCTGTCACAGGCGGGCACACCTGCCGGAATCCCCAGCCACCTGGGCAGCCCTGGAGGAGAGCCGCAGCCAGACACCCTCAGAGCAGCCTGGGCCTCTCCCAAGGGCCAGCAGGGGCCCTGGGAGGTGAAGAGACTCACCAGCAGCTGGACGGTCCCAGCAAGTTCACATGCGGAGGTCTGAGAACCTGAGCTGACAGCAGCACCTGGGGTGTAGGCGAGAAGTGGTGAGTGCTCTCCTGGAGGGCTCGACGCGACGCCCGAGGCCCAGCAGGCTGCCTGAGGAACTGCCAGTGGCTCCACGCCCACCTGTGGCTCTGTGGGCGAGCTCCCCCAGCCCGGCTTGAAGCCCTCGGCATCCCGGGAAAGTGCTTCCACCTGCTGGGGACCCCACGTGGAGCTCAGGAGCTGCCCCGAGGACACCGTGCCATCACCTTCTTGTCTGCCCCTCTCAGCACTCATACCACCAAGAGCCGACCCAGGTCTTGGGAGACCAGCACCTACAGACACCTGACTGCATCTCGGAACCTCTTACTCAACACTCTTCGTACTGTTCTGCCAGCTTGGTGGGGACATGAGGACTCTGGGTCAGAGCCCTTCCTATGAAATTTGCATGTGACAGAAAACCAAGCTCCACACTGTCCTGTCTCCCTGAGTCACAGCATGGCCCTGTCCTCCGGCCTCAGGGAGCTGGTGCACTGTGGGTGTGCACAGTCCGCAGGGCACTAACACGCTCCCAGAGGGTATACCAGCTCACAGTCGGTGCCTGTGGGAGTGCGGCCTTTCCAAGCCACGCAGACCCGCAGGCAGCCGCAACGCTTATCTGGTGCTCCAGCCTTCGTGAGCGACCCGTGGGCTTCCCACGCCTTGCTCAACACCAGCCTGAATCCCAGCCCCACCCTCCGTCTTTTGGCTCCAAGCCTTGAGGTAATAGGCAACACTGAAGAGGACATTGAGACACAGACAGGTGTCAAATGTGCTCGGCAAGGTGGCTGTGTGGGCCCTTAACTGGGGACCCTGAGAAGAGCCAAGAGTTTGCTTTCCAAGCTGCATCCTGAACTGTGTCCCCGAGGATTCCTGCATTCCCTCTAGAAGGCCCCTCGCCAGGTACACACACTCCATTGTGCACGTGTGGGCACAGCACACACTCGGGGGCACGTGTGGGCTGCAGTGCACGTGTGGGTGTGTGGCCCACGTGCAGGGCGTGTTCCTGATAACGCCCTGTGGAGGGGAAGAATGAGCAACAGCATGAAAAGACCCCCACAGCAATGAGACCCCATCCCCATCAATCAAGAGACCTCCGACATGGGACCTGTTCCTGTCAGCGGCTGCCACACGCCCTCCGTTCGCAGCTGTGGCCATCATAGTGTGTCTGAGATGATGCCAGTTGCCAGATCCCTCTCAAAAGTGGGTGAAGAGGCCACGCCCAGGCTGCCCGGGGTGCCACAGAGCCACAGTGTCTTCCAGCCTCAGATGGGATTCGGTGTGTTGGAGGGAGCTGGTGTGGCTTTGATTTCAGCAGAGGAGAGGGTAGGTAGGCTGGGTGGGGTAGACGGAGCAGGGTAGGGAGGGGTATAGTGGGTGGAGGTGGGTGGTAGGTGGGTAGCGCAGGGCAAGGAGGGTAGGCAGAGAAGGAAGGCGGGGAGGGAGGGTGGGGCACAGTCAGGTGAGCAGGGCAGGAAAGAGCAGGGGAGTCGGCAGAGCAGCCTGGGGCAGGGCAGGAGAGCGCAGAACGGAGCAGGACATGCCGCTGTTCTGGGCAGCTTTGTGTCGCTGTGACCAAAGACCCAACAGGAACTCAGGAGAGGAGAAGTTTATTTAAAAGGCGCGTGTTTCTGAGGCTCAGTCGTGGTGGACTGACTCCACTGCTCTTGGCCCGAGGAGAGGCAGAGCATGACGGAAGGGCGTGCAGGAGGACAGCGGCCCAGGACACAACACCAGGACAGAGAGGCTCTGCTTCAGCATCCCCAGAGGCACAGCCCCAGGACCACCCCCTCCAGCCGCACCCCACCTGCCCACGTGGCCACCCATCCCTATCAGCAGATCAACCACCAATTAGAGCTGAGCTCTCCTAACCCAATCACTTCACTGTGACACTCTTGCGTGACCTCGCATGGGAGCTTTGGAGGGACACCTCATATCCAAACCAATACACTCCAAAGGACCTGGCTTTAGCTGTCCAGCCGCCTCTGCAGGTTGCTTGTCCGCAGGGCCTGGCCAGGGTCCAGCATGTGCGGTGGGGCAACCCTGGGGGTTGCCACTCTGTCTCACCCCCACCCCCAGCATTCCTGACCCCTGTGTCCTTGTTGCAGTTTGTGGTTGTGGTCAGCATCGTGACCTTCAGGCCACCCCACTACGGAGCCTACGTCTTTCCTGCCTGGGCCAATGCCCTGGGCTGGGTCATCGCCACGTCCTCCATGGCCATGGTGCCCCTGTACGCAGCCTACAAGTTCTGCAGCCTGCCAGGGTCCTTCCGAGAGGTGGGTGTGCGCCCGGCCCCTCCCGCCTCACCCGGCTACCCAGGAGGTCTGGGCAGTGTCCACGCCCTGGCTCAGCCCCGACCAGGGGAGATGGGGAGGCTGAGGGGTGGGGCCAGTGCAGCAGGGAGTATGAGTCCAGGAGCCCGTGCAGTGTCCACGTGTGTGTCTAGGTCACCTCACATTTGTGTCTTGTCAACGACCGTATGTGTGCATGTGTCCACCTGTGAGTCCGTGTGTCTGTGTGTATGGACACCCACACACTGCCGTGGTGAAAAGGTGACCTGTGTCCCTCCAGGGTGGCCAGGTGAAGCCCCTGATGCAGCAACGGGCAGCTCTGGGCCCCCACCCAGAATGCTCCTCCTCTCCACCCGGCTTTGCCCCTGGAGCAGGGCAGAGACAGGTCTCGGAGGCCATGTCAGACTCCTGCCCTGAGTTCCTGAAGGGATGAGGGACGACCTCCTTGGAAGGACTGTCCTCCCTGAGAGCCCCCAGGTGGTCCCCAGCTCTGCTCTGTGCCCGAGTTCTGCAGGCCTGCTTAGGAGCAGTGCCTTGGGAGAGCCCATCCGTGTACCCGGGTCCAAGGGTTCACTCTAGAGCCAGCGTCCCTTGGTCTGAGGCACCACAGAGGGCCCCTTGCCTCACAGGCTGCCCTTGGCCCAGTTCCCCTGTCCTCAGGCCAGCCAGGGCCTGGAATGGGTCCAGTGCAGCCTGTGACAGGGCTATAGCTCCTGGGGCTGCCGTGGCCTCAGAGGAAGCTGATGTTGTCTGCTGTGGACGCTTGCTGACCTCCAAGCTGCTGTAAAGCAGGTGCCGGGCAGTTCCTGGAGGGAGACGGGTTCCCCAGGGCCCAGGACCATGGGCAGTCGGTGCGGAGCCCACGGGGGAGAGGTTTGCATGCAGTGGGCCCCAGCGGCCATTCTGGTGCCAGCTCCCACACAGACCAAGAGGGACCTCAGTAGCTAGACTGGTGCCACCAGATTGTGCCCCCACATGGACCAGGCACCCAAGGCCCCAGGTAGGGACAGGGACTCAGGGACAGTCCTGGTGAAGCCTGTTCTCGAGGCTGGAGGGACGAGGCTCAGCGCTGAATGAGAGAAGCAGGGGCTCCCAGCAGACACTGTGGAGCCGCCACACCTGGGCTGGGGGACAGGGCCCTGAACCACAGCCTGGGCTGCAAGTTGGGCCTGGACACTGGCAGATGCCCCACCAGGACATGCGGGCTGTGGGCTCCTGCATCTGCCCACATGTCCCCTGAGGGGCGTTGGTGCCCTCTGGCCGGTGGGGGCCTGCGGGTACCAATGCCAACAGCTCATTCTCCCTCAGAAACTGGCCTATGCTATCACGCCTGAGAAGGACCGCCCGCTGGTGGACCGAGGGGAGGTGCGCCAGTTCACGGTGAGTCGGCAGGGCTTCAGACGATGGAGGAGCAGTGTCCTCGTCCCACAGCTGCTCCTGGGGCCCCAGAGGGCTGCATGAAGCAGCACACACTTGGGTGCACCCCGTGCCACAGGGCCAGGGGCCACCTGAGGTCTCGGGCTGAGGACGGGGCAGCTGAGAGCAGCAGAATCAGTGGAGATGACGGAACAGGTGACCGCTGACGGACACCCATATGAAGGGCGGGGCCCATGGGGGGCTGAGCCTGCCTCCCTGGGCATGGTGAGGCAGAGGAGGCAGAGGGTCCTGGAAGCTTTGGGGGCAGAGAGGGGACAGGAGGGGGGAAGCGGCTCTCGCAGGTCTAGAGTGGGTCAGGTGTCCACCGAGGCCCCGGCAGGCCCTGACAGCACTGTCTCCCTCACTGGGGAGCTCAGGGTGCACATGGGCACTCCACACTCTGTCACATGCCATGGGGGGCAGGGGTGCATGTGGGCACGCCACACTCTGCCACATGCCATGGGGGGCCTGGATGCACGTGGGCACGCCACACTCTGCCACATGCCATGGGGGGCCTGGGTGCACATGGGCACGCCACACTCCTGTCACATGCCATAGGGGTCCTGGGTGCACGTGGGCATGCCACACTCTATCACATGCCATAGGGGTCCTGGGTGCACGTGGGCACGCCACACTCTGTCACATGCCATGGGGGACAGGGGTGCATGTGGGCACGCCACACTCTGTCACATGCCATGGGGGACAGGGGTGCACGTGGGCACGCCACACTCCTGTCACATGCCATAGGGGTCCTGGGTGCACGTGGGCACGCCACACTCCTGTCACATGCCATGGGGGACAGGGGTGCATGTGGGCACGCCACACTCTGTCACATGCCATGGGGGACAGGGTGCATGTGGGCACGCCACACTCCTGTCACATGCCATAGGGGTCCTGGGTGCACGTGGGCACGCCACACTCCTGTCACATGCCATAGGGGTCCTGGGTGCACGTGGGCACGCCACACTCTGTCACATGCCATGGGGGACAGGGGTGCATGTGGGCACGCCACACTCTGTCACATGCCATGGGGGACAGGGGTGCATGTGGGCACGCCACACTCCTGTCACATGCCATAGGGGTCCTGGGTGCACGTGGGCATGCCACACTCTATCACATGCCATAGGGGTCCTGGGTGCACGTGGGCACGCCACACTCTGTCACATGCCATGGGGGGCCTGGGTGCACATGGGCACGCCACACTCCTGTCACATGCCATAGGGGTCCTGGGTGCACGTGGGCATGCCACACTCTATCACATGCCATAGGGGTCCTGGGTGCACGTGGGCACGCCACACTCTGTCACATGCCATAGGGGTCCTGGGTGCACGTGGGCACGCCACACTCCTGTCACATGCCATGGGGGACAGGGGTGCATGTGGGCACGCCACACTCTGTCACATGCCATGGGGGACAGGGGTGCACGTGGGCACGCCACACTCTGTCACATGCCATGGGGGACAGGGGTGCATGTGGGCACGCCACACTCTGTCACATGCCATGGGGGACAGGGGTGCATGTGGGCACGCCACACTCTGTCACATGCCATGGGGGGCCTGGGTGCACATGGGCACGCCACACTCCTGTCACATGCCATGGGGGACAGGGGTGCATGTGGGCACGCCACACTCTGTCACATGCCATGGGGGGCCTGGATGCACGTGGGCACGCCACACTCTGTCACATGCCATGGGGGGCCTGGGTGCACATGGGCACGCCACACTCCTGTCACATGCCATAGGGGTCCTGGGTGCACGTGGGCGTGCCACACTCTATCACATGCCATAGGGGTCCTGGGTGCACGTGGGCACGCCACACTCTGTCACATGCCATGGGGGACAGGGTGCACGTGGGCACGCCACACTCTGTCACATGCCATGGGGGACAGGGGTGCACGTGGGCACGCCACACTCCTGTCACATGCCATAGGGGTCCTGGGTGCACGTGGGCACGCCACACTCCTGTCACATGCCATAGGGGTCCTGGGTGCACGTGGGCACGCCACACTCTGTCACATGCCATGGAGGGCAGGGGTGCACGTGGGCACGCCACACTCTGTCACATGCCATGGGGGACAGGGGTGCACGTGGGCACGCCACACTCTGTCACATGCCATGGGGGACAGGGGTGCACGTGGGCATGCCACACTCCTGTCACATGCCATAGGGGTCCTGGGTGCACGTGGGCACGCCACACTCTGTCACATGCCATGGGGGGCAGGGGTGCACGTGGGTACGCCACACTCTGTCACATGCCATGGGGGGCCTGGGTGCACGTGGGCACGCCACACTCTGTCACATGCCATGGGGGGCCTGGGTGCACGTGGGCATGCCACACTGTGTCACATGCCATGGGGAGCAGGGGTGCACGTGGGCACTCCACACTCTATCACATGCCATGGGGGGCAGGGGTGCACGTGGGCACGCCACACTCTGTCAAATGCCCTTGGGGGGCCTGGGTGCACATGGGCACACCACACTCTGTCACATGCCGTGGGGGGCCTGGGTGCACGTGGGCATACAACACTCCTGTCACATGCCATGGGGGGCCTGGGTGCACGTGAGCACGCTACCCACATGTCACATGCTTTGGGGGGCCACGGTGCATGTGAGCACTGCACACTCCTGTAATGTGCCGTGGGGGAGCCAGGGTGCCTGTGAGCACACCACCCACATTTCACATGCCGTGGAGGAACAGGGTACACATGAGCATACCACCCACATGTTACATGCCGTGGGGGGCTAGGGTGCACGTGAGCACACCACCCACATGTCACATGCCATGGGGGGCTAGGGTGCACGTGGGCACACCACCCACATGTCACATGCTGTGGGGGTCCCAGGGTGCATGTGAGCACACCACCCACATGTCACATGCTGTGGGGTACCAGGGTGCACATGTGCACATCACCCCCCGTGTCATGTGCAGTGGAGGGCCCAGGGTGCACTGTGCATGTCCCGTGCCAGTCACATGCTGTGGGGGGGCCCAGGGTGCACTGTGCACACCAGGCTCCCATCATGTGCCATGGGCAGGAGTGCTGCCGAGAGCCCAGTATAAGCATGGGGCAGATTGTGACTGCCACAACCTCAGAGGTAGGTCTGCTCCCTACAAAGCCCAGAGAGGCTCCAGAACCTGCCTGCAGCCCCACTACCAGGTGGGAGGTGGGTCTCGGCCAAGCTCTGGCGCATTCTCAGCTGTCCCCTCCCCACCCCAGGAGAGCGGCCCAACTCCAGAACTCTAGCATGAGCTGAATGCAGGGTGGCGGGACCCCAGGATGAGAAGGGCTCAAAGGTCAACTGGCTGGGTGTTCGAGCCCAGCAGAGTGGAGGCAGAGGGGACTCCTGGCAGTATCCTGTGACCGCCCTTCCCCCACCCCTCCCGCCTGGTGTCCTCCTCTGTGCAGTGGGAGGGCAGTGACCGACCGTCCCCTGGGCAGATCTAGTTGTCACCAGATGGGGTCCAAGAAGGTTCCCCAAAGGGAGAAGGGACCTTAACCAAGCCCTGGCAGGTTCTCGACCACAGGAATTTCAGCATGCATCCAAAGAGCCTGGAGAGATTTCCTAGGGAAGCGAGACCCGCAGGAGCAGGGCACGCTTGGGGAGGACGAGGGCCCAGAGCACACGTCCAGGCCTTGGGCTGTTTCAAAGGACGTTGTAAGCAGGGGTACATGTGGGTGGGGGGGTGGTGCTAGGGTGGCATCCACCTGGAACTCCGACATGCACAGGTGCTTTCGGGACCCCCAGGGGGAGGTCACCCGGTTGCGGATAAGGTTTGGGACACACCCACAGCACAGATCTCTGATGCTGCTGTCCCTCTGCCTTGGTCTAAAAAGCCTGCTGTGTCAGCTCTCAGGGTGTGCAGGCCTTAGTCACCTGGATGGCACCCAGAGACAAGGGGCCCTAGGAACCCAGGGTGGGGGCAGTCATGTTCACCTGAGCCAGGCAGTGGGACACTCACTGCCACTTGGCCAGTGTGGTCGACCCCCACGGGGCTGCGCCTCCAGTTCCTCCTCCTGTTAGTGCAGGTCCTGGTGCAGGGTCAGCCTCCCGCCTTCCCCAGACCACCTCCTGCTCTGAGCACAAGAGGCACACCCAGGCTTCCCACCCCACCTGCACAGGACGTCCTTCCTGTCCCGCCGGCCCTGCCACCCCCGTGAGAGTCGGGTCCTCTGAGAGCCTGGGCTGGCGGGGGTCACCTGTGTGTGGCCTTGGGTGGGACTTCTCAGGCTCCACAGCAACTGTGCGGACAAGTCTGCTGGCTCTGTCCCGTCGTGCCGATGCCTTCCTTCCACTCCCCCCAGGTCTTCTGAGGTTTACTACCTTCTTAATTTGGAACTTAGATAATTAGTTTTCAACTTTCCTTTTTTTCTAACAAGCACTCAAGGCTAGAAATGTCCCTCCATATGCCTGTCTTGCTGCACCCCACACCCTTTGACAGAGGGTGTTTTATTCTTTAGCTCTTCACATATTTTACTTTCCATCCTACCTTCACTCATAACTTGCGTACAAATTGCTTTTAAATTCCCACATTAGGGGGTGTTCCGTTCCTCTCTGTGGCTGCTTCTGAATTGACCACCCTGTGCTCAGACACCTGTGAAAGGCGCTGAGCCTGCTTCTGCCCGATAGACTGGGCTGCTATGGACGTTGCCCATGCCGCCTTCAGCCTGTCCATTTGAGGTCTGCTGGACAGTTAATGACCGAGAGCCGTTTGTGGTGTGTTCCTTGACAGCACGTCTGCTCAGCTTTCTCCTCGGCTCATGCATTTCCTCCACACCATCTGAAGCTCTGCTCCGAGGTACAGCTGCGTTTAGAATGACCAGAGCTCCTGGCCAGCGGTCTTCTCCCAGCGAGGCCTTTGCTGTGGCACCCGTTTTGTCTGTGGGGAATATGGTGTGCCTGGTGCCTTTGGGTTTTCCTTGGGCAAGTCTGTCCACTCATGGCCTTGGGGATAGTAAGACGTGGGTTTTTTCTGCAAGCCCAGCACACCCCTGGAACTCCTCCCTCTGGCCATTGGGCAGACTAACCCACTGACATTTGCTGTGGTTACTGACAGGCTTGAGCTTTGTCCTGGGGCCTTTAACCCCGTCTGTCCCCCGGTTAAGTTCTCTTTTCTCCTTTATTGCCTTCTGTTGATGGGTCTTCACATCTCTTAGGATATGTCGTGTGAACAGGAACTGTGGATCCATGATTTGTGTCACTTGTGGGAATTTTGCAACGACACTAAAACCTTGCCTTTGGCCAGGTGCAGTGGCCAAGCCTGTAATCCCAGAGGCGGACTCTGGGGCAGGAGGATGTGTGTTCCAGGCCAGCCTGGGCAACAGCGAGACCCTGACTCAAGGTGAAAGGTGAAAGGGGCTGAGGCGTGGCTCGGTGGTACACACCGGGGTTCAGTCCCAGCACCAGCACAGGGCAGAGCAAGCCCGTGCTGCCACTTCTGGCCCTCCTACCCTCACTTGGAGTTTCCTTACCGCCGCTCCAGAGCCACAATCCCACAGCAGGCTTCTGTCACTGACACTTTTTATCTATTTGTCCACAAACAAAATAAGCCCCTGTGAGACTGCTGCTCAAGAACTCAGTGTTGGTGGCAATTATCTCCAGCCGCCCACCCTCTCCCCAGTGTCCTTGGAGCAAACAGCCTCAGCCCCACGTGAATCCCTCCTCTGTCCTCCCACTGCATAAGTTTGTCCCATAGGTAGATGGTGACAGAAGGTAGGTGGGTGGAGGGTAGATACATGGAAAGAGATAGATGGAGAGATGGATGGATGATAGACAGAGGTAGATAGAGGAGAGATGATGGAGAGAGAAGAGTGGTAGATGGACAGGAGATAGGGGACAAATAGAAGGTAGAGAGATGATAGGAAGGTACAGACAGAGGTAGGTAGATGACAGAAGATGAGTAGAAAGATAGATGATTGACAGAAGGAAGGTAGATGATGGATGATGGAAAGACAGAGATAGGTGGATAAAGATAGAAGACTGACGGTAGATGATACATTTTGTAGATAGGAGGATAGGCAAAATTGATATATAGATAATGGGTGGACAGGTGACTGATCGATGATAGGTAGGAAAGATGGGTGATAGAAGACAGAAGGTAGGTGGATAGAAGATGGACATAAATGACCGAATATGTAGCTAATAGATGGACAGAGGATGGATGGATGGGTGGTGGGTAGAAAGAGTTTGTTTTGTGGTCCCCAGCCCTTGTATTTTAATTCTACTTTGAGACAGGGCCTCACTAAGTGCCTGGGCTGGCCATGAACTTGGTGCCCTGCCTCAGCCTCCTGAGCAGCTGGGATGGCAGGCATGGCCACCGCACCTGGCAGATGGAGCCATCTCTGTGGTCCTGCAAAGCATGTTTGGCTGGCAGTTCTTCTTGCTTCTGGAAAGGGCACCCTCTGCTTCCACCCCAGGTCTGCTTTCCCCCAGCACAGTCAGGGTGCACGGCCCTTCTCCGTGCCGCTGGGGTTCGTAGCTGGCATCCCGTTTGGGCATTTCCAGCCACCGTTACTCATTCTGCCCCCAGGGCCCGTGGCTGCATGAGCACTGCCACTTGGAGTCACGGCACCGCTGTGCGTCACTCCCCCTCTCCCTTGCTGTCTCTGGGTGCCTCGGGTTGGATGCCCTGTGCCCTCAGGTGGCTGAGGGAGCTTCCAGCCGCGTGGCTTTGCTGTGGTTTGTTCTGCTTAGTTCCGTGCCCTCCTTCGGACCCCTTTTGGCACGCACCCTTCACCTGGCTCTGTGAGGTCCCCTGGGGTCTTCTTGTGCCTTCTGTGTCTCTACTTCTGAACACCTGCAGTTTGCACATGTGTCTATCCTGGGTCAGATTTGCTGCGGCTTTTCTCCCTGTGGTTCTATTCTGCCTCTTTGCGTGTTGGGTTGTGTCCAGATGGTCCCTGGACGCTGTGGTTTTCCTTGCTAGGTGCTGAGTTTGCATTCCTGTAGATTTTCTTGAACTTAGGTACTTGGAAACAGGTCGACCAGAGCTCGTCTAGCCAGCCACCCTGAGCTCTCCCCACCCAGGGCCCGGCCGCCGTGAGGCTTGCAGCCCAGCTGGTGGGCAGGCGCAGCTGCAGCCCTGCCCAGCCTCAGGTGGCTCCCTGCAGTGCATCAGAGGCTCTCCCCGCTTCTGCGTGCACTGTGGGTGCTGGGTCCAGCCTGGGCACCCCTGTGCAGTCACCCCTCAGGCGCCTGCAAGCTCAGTGCTGTGGGCCCCCACCGAAGCAGCCCTGTGGGCTCCACCTGGCCTCCCGTTCCCTGCACCACAGTCCACAAGGTCCCTCCGGGCAGCAGGCTGGGTGCACTGGACATGCTGCTTGCTGGCTCTTGCATGGGGACAACCCCGACCTTGGCCATCTGACTCCAGGTCTCCAAGCCATTGGTGTGTGTGTGCCATTCACTCTGAAGGCATTTCAGGTGGGAGGGGAGACTTGGCCCTTAGTCTATCTCGGCTAGAAGTAATGTGCCTATGGCTCTGGGAGGACCCTCGTGGCCACACGTGTGACCTGCTGCGCTGACGAGCCAGCATGCCCTGTGTGCACCCTTGACTGGCAGCTACCTCCGGCTCAGCTCTGTGGATGCGCTTGGCCTGCCTGCTTCTTGTGCAGTGAGCATGTTGTAATGTGCCTCTGTCCCTCTTTGGGACACCCGACTGCCTGGAGCTGTCCTGTCATCGGACCCCGCAGACTCTGGTCCTTGGCTCTGCTGACCTCTGGTTCCTGCTGACTCCCTCTCAGAGTTGGCCTGCCTCCTATTTCTGGCCTTTTTATTTGCAAGTCTGTGGCCTGACCACAGTCTGTGGGAACTCGAGAGTCACCCCAAATGCCCCTCCCTCCAGAGAGGGTCACTCTGCTTTTGGAGGTGGCCAGGAGAGAGGGCCACTCTCACTCAGGTGAGTCCCACAGTGGGTCCAAGAGCAACGTCCCTCCTCGTGATCTGAAGGGAGTGCCACCCAGAGCTGCTGTGCTGGACTCTGGCCACTGGGCCCTCCTGGCTGTGACCCCAGCCAGGTCCTGCCCACCACTGCCATCACTGGGCTCCATGACACACCTGGACAGTACCTATGTTGGCATCACCTGCAGCTGCCCCAGGCCCCTGCAGCCCCCCGCCTCCCGCTACGTGTGGTATGTCCTGACCCAGCGGAGGTAGCCCCTCAGGGTTCCCAGTGGAAGGGACAGAGAGGCCCTGCATGGCCAGAGGGCCAGTTCCCGCTTTCCCCCTCTGGTACCGTGGGGTCAGAAACAAGCCACCAAGCTTTTGCTCAGAAAATATTTAAAAACAGAGTTCTGGCCACCATGTCACCAACTGCCTCTCGCTCAGAAACAGCCAAACTGGTAGCTGCACGGTAACAGCGATGGCAGTGGCTGCAGTGCCACAGTCACCCCTCAGTGTCCTCAACCTGGAGCCACCAGTGAGGCCCGCTCCCCACGTGGTGCGTCACACTGCCAGCTGGTGGCAGAGCACAGGGCTTCACTAGGATGGAGAAGTGGGGAAGTGCTGGGTGCAGGGGAGGGGACACCACTGGGTCACTCACAGGTTGCAGGAGGTCACATTTCTGAGGCCAGCATCTCCCCACCCCAGCTGCTGTCTCTAATGTGCCCAGAGGCTGCTGTGGCCTCCCCTGCCGTGGCCTCCCCCGCCAGGCATGGCCCTTGCTTTGCAGCTGAGTCGCAGGTTCAAAACAGGCCCCCAGGAGCAGTGTTGATCCTGCATCCCGCTGCCTCCCGTGGGCAGGTGGCTGGCAGGGGCGGCCCTGAGCAGCAGGGTGGGGCCCAGGAGCTGCTTGTGCCAGGGCTGCCACCTGCTTCTGACCAGATGTCCTCCTTGCAGCTGCGCCATTGGCTCCTGGTGTAAACGGAGCCCACGGATGACCAGGGCAGTCCTCTTGCCACAGGGAGACAGAGGAGGGAGATTGACGTTTCCAGAGAAAGAGGGCCACTCCCACCCCTGCCTCTACTGAGAACGCAGCACGAGGCTCCATCTCTGACTCCTCACCGCTTCACGCCCCATAGAGGGCTCGCCCTGCGTCCTGCGTCCTGCGTCCTGTGAGAACAGCAGAGATCCTCGTGGTGAGGTTCCAGCCTGTCCCATCCCTGCACACGGGTCCACGTGGCTGGCTCCTCCCCTGCGGCCACCCTGGAACACGATCTTGCTGTCACCCATGCTCTGGGGAGAGGGACCCGGGTGACTGTACATACACTGTGTGAGGACCCCTGTGCTCACGATAGCTGCCTGGGTCATTTATTTTGCTCAGATTTTAAAAGCCAAGTGTCCTGTTTTGTCTAAGTGTGCAGAAGGAGAGTCGGGGAGACCGCCCCGAGGCCCCACTCCTTTCCCGTGTGTGGCCAGGCTGGATGTGAGCGCCCTGCCCGCCTGGCACCCCTCGTCTGTTTTGGCCATGGACGACTGGGGTCTGGAACGTGGGATTGGGCACTCTTTTGGCTTCTTGGTCAGCTCATGGTCACCTCGCTGGGGACTTCCAGGCCATGGGAGGAGGGCTGCTCCTTGTAAGCCACATGCCGAAGCTCGAGGGCCCCTGGCACGTGGGAGCCACTAGGCAGCCTGCAGACACCCCGCGTGTCCTGGAGCTGGCCCTTGGGGAAGAACCAACAGGGTGTCGTTTCTCTCAGGCACCATCACATCTGTGGACACTTTTCCTGTTAGGGAGTGGCTTTTTAAAATCACATTTACCTTCGAATCCAGACTATTCTCACGGCCTAAGGTCAGTCTCTGCATGTCTGTATGCTGGTGGCTGGTTTTGTTGACAAAAGCTATCAGCAATACCAAGTGAAGAAGGCCACCCAGGGCCACCTCCACGGCACACTGGCTGCTGCCCCTGGAGGGAAGGGCACGTGTCCCCAGGTCACCTGGAGCTTCTGGATGTGGCCTGCAGAGAGGTCGTACCCTGTGCCGTCCAGCAGGCGCAGGCTGCATACAGAGCCCTCTGGGCCTCCCACAGGTGGACGTGGGCACCAGGGACTGGACCCTGACACTGGGGAAACTCGAGCCATGTCCCTTGAGCCCCGCAGTCACGGCCAAGGCCCGTGCCTCCTCCTTGCCGAGGTGTGGCTCTGTAGAAGCAGGTGTCCTCAGCATGCTAGCGTCTCCGCCGTCAGTGTCTGTGTGGTCCTCACGCACAATAAATGAAACCTGTCCAGAAAATGGCCATGGCTGTGTCGCACACTCCTGCCCGGTCCTGCTGCCCTGCACAGGCCCAGCTAACTGGCTCCACCTGGGTGGGGGAAGCTAGCTCCAGGGGACACCGTCACCTGGTGCTCCCAGCCCACCCTCCATCCCACCACGGCTTTCCACACTTGCTCCCCAGAGCCTGGGGCAGGTGTATCCCCAGCCTCCCCGTGGGTGTACCAGAGTGGCCCACCCCCACGGGCTCCCACGCAGGTGTACTGGGATGGTCCACCTCCCCTCCACGGGCTCCCACCCAGGTGTGGCAGGGTACCCCATCCCCCCCATGGGCTCCCACCCAGGTGTGCCAGGGTGCCCCATCCCCCCCACAGGCTCCCACCCAGGTGTGCCAGGGTGCCCTATCCCCCCCCATGGGCTCCCACCCAGGTGTGCCAGGGTGCCCCATCCCCCCCACGGGCTCCCATGCGGCATGCCAAGGCAACACCCCCCGCCCTGGGCTCCCACAGGCGTGCCTGGGATGGCCTGGCCCCCGCCCCAGGTCTGTGGCCTTGCAGGCTGCCCTGTGGTTGTACATGGCATGTGCTGGGTGTCACAGCGGCCCACTCAGGCCACTGAGGAGCCTCCAGGTGGGCTCCTCTGCCCTGCCTCCCTCTGTCCCCACAACCTGACCACCACCACTGTCCAGCCCATTAGCCTCTCCAGGGGCATGTCCCCTGTTTCTTGAGTGGCACCTAGCCCTGGCTCTCCGTGGTCTCTGTCCCCTCTGTAGCCAAAGGTACACCAGTCAACCTGGCCACCTGGTTGAATGGCGGCATCCTCAGTGAGACCCGAGAAGTCACCTGCTCATGGACTCCCTGCTGTGACCCAGATGACCCAGTGGCCCTGTACAGGCATGCTGCATGACAGCACAGCCCACGCATCCACAGGGTCCTGTAGGCACCACCCACATAGAGACCTCTGCTGCCACCCACATGATGACCTTCACCCCAGGTCCCAGGAGAGCGGCCTGGCTTCCTGCAGGCCTCTGCCCACACAGCGCCTCACCATGGAGGCTACTGGACCCAACACCATGTGAGCCAGGGCCTCTCTCTCAGGGCCCAAGGCCTAGTCTCCAGGATTGCCACTGGCAGCCTCAAGGGGGACTTTGCAGAGGCCCTGCACGCAGGTCAGCTGGGTTGGCCACATGAGTCTCCCCTGCTCATAGCCCAAGCCACTTTGAGTCAGGGTGCCCTCGGGTCACCGTCCAGACAGCAGATCTAGCTCAGTGAGGCGCAGTCTGGCCAGTGTCACATGTGGGCCATACACAGTGCTGAAGGTGCCCCTCCCCAGGCCCAGCACAACCAAAGTCCACCAGCAGGAGCCAAAGCTCTTGAGGTAGAGCTGTGGCAAGCACCTTGCAGAGAACAGGGGAGGGCCCCAGGCTGCAGGTGCCACAGGACCAGCAGCCACTGCACACCCTGCGGCTGCCACTGCACACCCCACAGCAGCCAGGCTCCTGTGTCTGTGTGCTCTCCAGCCTCAAGCTCTGCAAGAGACCAAAAGGAGGCCTACAGAGTGTGGGGGCTGAGCACTTCACTTGGCCGTTCAGAAAGTACCAAGGGGGCAGGGGATTCCACCCTGGTTTCAGAAGGAGCCCCTGAAAATCAACTAGAAACAACCTGATAAAAGGGACAGAGGTCCTGAGTGGGCACTGTGTCGGCCAACTTCCCATTACTGTAACCAGTGGTCCAGCTGGTGCCCTCACAAGAGCAAGGCCTGTCTTGCTCGGTTTGGGAGATTCTGTCCCAGATTGGTGGGCCCTGGAGCTTTGGGCGGACAGAAGGGCAGCCATCATGATGGCGGTACTCGGTGAAGACACTCACAGCCAGGACTCACAAGGGAGGAGGCAGCAGGGCTGGGCCCAGAGTCCAAGACCCTGGGCCCCCCTCTTAAGGTTCCAACACTCCCAACAGTTGCAGGTGGGGACCCCCCTCCACACATGGGCCCTGGCGTCACTGCAGACCCAGTCTGCAGCGGGCACACAGGAAGGGCGTCATGCGGCAGCAGACCTGGGTGGTGCCAGCCTCAGGAGGTCTGGAGGGAACGTGGTGCGGCCCTCAGCCCCCAGAGCTGAGCTCCACATAGGCAGCGTCCACACAGGGCAGGAGCACTGACCCTCCAGGGGAGGAGGGACAGGTGTGGCATCTGGAGAGCCTGCCTGTGGGGTGCTGCTGGGGCCCCACCCCACGCGGGACCCCTCATCCGCCTGCCGAGGTGCAGCACCACCAGCCTGCATCTCACCTGCCCGCACGACCTGGGTGGCCAGCCCCTGCTAGCCTGAGGTCGCCGTGGATCAGGAGGAGCGAGGCTCCACGGGACCAGCCTCCTCGACCTGCCTACTTCGTGCCACCCAGTTTTCTGCTACAGGCTCCACCACCAGTTGGCATATGAATCCCACTCGGGGCACTCGTAGACCTCAGATAATGCCACCTCCACCCTGGCAGATGTGGGCAACGGCACCTCACGGCACGTGTACAGCGTGTGCATAAGCCCACACTGGGCCGGGCACGGTGGCACACTCCTGTGATCCCAGAGGCTCGGGAGGCTGAGGCAGAAGGATGGCAAGTTCAAAGCCAGCCTCAGCAACTTAGCAAGCCCTGTCTCTAAATAAAAAGCCCAAAGTGCTGGCTCAGGGGTTAAGTGCCTCTGGTTCCATCCCCAGTATCAAAAAATGTCCACGCTGGGCAGGGCCGGAATGCCAGCCCACAGCCTGCTCAGCATCAGGAAGAACCTTCAGCCACAGACTCTGGCCTCAGGGAGCATGCTGAGATCACGCGGAGTCCCGCAGCCCCAGTACCTGCACAGCGATCGTAGCTGGGGGTGGGCGGCTGCAGGCGCCATGGGAGCTTGTGCCCCTGTGATGGCAGGGGGGACGGACATGGCCCGAGGTGCACTGGGGCAGGAAGCCCATGACAGCAGAAAGAACAGAGACCGCCCGAGGTGCACTGGGGCAGGAGGCCACGGGATGGCAGAGGGGAGACTGGGCCATGGGCCTGTGGGCCTGGGCACACAGGGGCTATGGTGGCCACAGGGCTCAGGGTGGCCATGGGGCTGAGGTTGGCCACAGGGCTGGGGGTGGCCACAGGACTGGGCATGGGCACAGGGCTAGAGATAGGCACTGGGCTGGGAGTGGCCACAGGCTGGGGATGGGCACAAGGCTGGGGGTGGCCACAGGGTGGAGGTGGCCACAGCACAGGTGCTCCCAGGAGCAGCCCTGTGACACCTCGGCCTCAGATCTGCAGCCTAACAAAGCACTCCCATTCTTTAAGCCACCGGTTTGTAGGAACTGGCCCCTGAACAACTGGGGTCAGGGAACCCAACACTGCAGAATCAAAATCTGCATGAAACTATTAAAAATGTATTCAATGTTTTTATTAAGAAGGGCTTGTAGTTTGATCACAGTTTTTGAAAAATCCAAGTCATAAATTTTAATACAAATTTAAAATGAAGTCCTTAAAAATCTCAACTTGATAGGAAACATTTAAAAGCAAAGGTGGATAGAGAAGACCCAGGCTTTTCAATACTCAAAGAGGCAGCTTGAGGTAAAACTGGCAGAACCGCAAGCCCAGAGCTGTCCGGACAATGCAGACCATCCTGCCCGGCCCTCTCCAGCCCTCTCTGGCCCTCTCCTTCCTCTCCTGGCCTCTCCCACCTAGCTCTTGCAGCTGAGCTTCTGAGCTCACCCTGTTGTGGTGGGTGGCCTGGCAGAGACCCACGCACAGCGGCGGAGCAGCCAGAAGCTCAGTGGGTGGACAGCCAGACGCTGTTGCCTCTGCCATCTCAGAGGAGGGTGTCTGAGGGGCAGTAGAGGTTGTGTAGCATTGAGGGTCTGCTGTCCTTAGGTCTCCTCGTCCTCGGTCACCTCTCCAGGCTGCTCTTGGCGCACTGCTGCAGCTCAGCCTGGTGAGAAAGTGACGGGCTGCAGTGCTCAGCTGTCTAGGGTCTCCCCTGCACTTCCCCCACAGCTTTTCAATGTAACTACCAACGGCCTGCGGTCGACCAGAAGCCTTGGCCATCAGCACACTCTGTACATCACTAAGAGATGTGGGGACCTTGAGAGGTATCTGACCCTGGGGTGCAATTTGCTGGAGGTGAATCGCTCACCTGAGCAGGTGCGTGCCACCCAGCACTTGAAGGGACACGCCAAGACACAGGCTTACACGCTGCAGGAGGCGGCTGGGATTACACAGGCGCACACCGTGCCACACCAATGCTGTGTGGCTGCTGTCAGTGTCCCCTTCAAGTCCCTCTCACTCCTCTCCCAGCAAGGGCTCCAGAGCGAGTTCCATGACTCGCGCTCTGAGGGAGGCCTGTGCTGACCGGTCGTCCACCTGCGAGTCACATACTCACGCACCTTCTCTCTAGTTCTCGACACGCAGGGCTCTGTGGTCTTCTGGGAGCATTTCAAAGTGTCCACATCCCCAGGCACACCCGATGTTCAGCAGAGTTCGACCCTGCTGTTCAAGGTGCACCTGTGCTTCGTCCCCTGGCCACGGGAGCCACAGGCGGTAGGCTCTCCAAGTATCAGAAAGCAGGTCACCTGGACGGGGACTCTGGCCCCAGGGACCCTCCTGTCTGGACATCTTCCTTGTCCATCCACCCTTTCCAGACTCCACCTCCAGCCCAGCCTCCACTGCGCATCACCTTTGGACATCTGCTCTGACCCCAGCTTCTAGGTCCTGGCCCCTGGTCAGGCCTCCCTAGCAGGTGTCACACAGGAGACTGCTTGTCCTACTCCAAGTGTGGGACCTCACTGGCTTCTGGGGGTGTCTGGAAGGTGCCTGGTCCCTGGCAGGTAGTGGAGCAGGTTTTCAGACAGGTGAATGAGTGGGCAGCTGGATGGACGGAGGACCTCCCCACGTCTGCCTTCTGGCCCAAACCCAGTGCCTGGCAGCACTAAGGGCACGGAGCTGCGTTTGGCACTTGTTCCTGAGGGAATGGTGGCTCTTTCACGTTAGTGAGACGAGCTAATACCAGACATCC